GTAAATGATGAAGTTGATGGAGACCACTATGAAGCAGCTCTGAGCAGGATTTAAAATTAGTCGATTGGCTTTCTATGTTTACTCATGAGTCTGTCTCAGGCCTAGGCCCCTTGTCTGGAGATGGGCAGTGGATTCATAATAAGTGAACCTCTATGAGTCATTGGCCCCAGCTGAGGCAGGTAGTGGCCTGTGAGACAGTCACACCTCAAAGGACAAGACAAGGGTCACAGCGGAGGACACCTGGATCCAACCCCAATTAACTAGATAGAGACTATATCTGCAGATGTCTCACTCCTTCAGTAAATGTCAACTTGGAGATAAGATAGTTCTCCTATTTAGCATAAATTACTACTTGAAGAAGTCTTTGTACTGACTCTCAAGATCCCACTCAGTTTCCCTGCACTTTCCTAGATATCCCCTTCCTTGTTTGAAAACCAAATAAATATGGGCTGCCGAGAGAAGCTTTTTGTCTTCACCCCCAGAGAATCTCGAATTCTGCTAGAGGGTTTTGATCCTCCTGGAGCCCTAAAATCATACTTCTTGCCTCTTTTATTTAAACCTTCACCATGCACTCATTTGAGAGGTTGTGGGACTGATCAGTCTGAGATATTAAGTCAGGAGTCTAAACCACATACTCTATCCATCATATTATATAACCTCTTTGCCTTATATCCACAGTTCTTAACTTTTGAATGGAGCAGTTTTAGGAAATGAGGGACAGCGATGAATTCCTGTGAAAACCTGATGAAAATTATAGATCAGTTAGAAATCATTTCCATGCAAAATTGCGTATTTGAACATGCATATCAAATACTGCCTAATTTGAAAAGATTTGCAAGCCCCTGCAGCCTATGTAGATACCTACAATACATGAAATTAATTGTAAGATAGAAATATACTCAAAAGATCTATATCTTTACTTACTAAAAGCCCAAATTTATTATCAATAACTCTACCAAAATTAATCTGAATCAATTTGTATCTCTAATTATCCTATTAGGAGTAATACATTTCACTTTTTATTACCTGTTTTATTAAATAATGCTGCCTATTTGCCTTTAAGCAAATTTTAATTATGCAATGTTTGAATTTCAGATAGTTATACTTCTATAATTAAATAATTTGTTGAATAATTTCATATTTATGCTTTGAATATGCTCTAAATATCAAATATAGTCTTTCCTAAATTGTCTACTTTATTTTTTAATGCTTCCTAGGAAACCCTACAACTAATTTTACCTTTTATTCTACCTGAACATATTTATTCTTCTCCAAATTATAGGTTTCTATTATAATTATTTCTTCAACTTTATAATGTAGTTACTTATTATACTGCATGAAGAGTAAAAAATATTTTCTACTTTATATTTAACCCTTTTCTATTAATGTTTAACACTTTTGATTATTTCAGCTGAGCATTATAAAATGTCACAGTGTTAGTCATTTTCCTCACTGCTGAGACACAATACCCAACACCCACATCTTAAAGCAGAAGAGGTTTATTTTGGCTCACAATTTTAGAAGTTTCAGTCTGTGGTGACAGACTTCAAGGCAGAAACAGCATGGTGGAAGGGCTAGGTGGAGGAGTTTTTGTAAATAGGGACGGGAAGACGGGTTGAAGGAAGGATAGGGAAATGGGGAAAAAAAGAAACAAGATATATCATGTACAAGTACAAATTCCCTGTGATGAACGTGATCATTATGTATACCCAAAATGTACCAATAAACTTAATTAATTAAAAAATAAAAGGCTGGGGCTGGGGATTTAGCTCAGCGGCAGAAGCGCCTGCCTGGCAAGCGCAAGGTCGTGAGTTTGGTTCCTGGTACCGGAGAAAAAATAAAAGGCTGGGTGTGGTGGTGCATGCCTGTAATCCCAGCACATGGGAGGCTAAGGCAGGAGGATTGTTGCAAGTTCAAGGCCAGCCTGGGCTACAAAGTGAGCTCAAGGCCAGCTTGAACTGCATAGCAAGACCCTGTCTCAAAGAGCCAAAAAAAAATTTAAAAATAAAAAATAAATAAAAGCCCCCTCTGAACATAAGAGGCTTTGGAGTGACATTCTTGATCTAAATCTAAACAGTCAATAATTTCACAAAAGAATCCATAATTAGCATCAGTTTATTTCCTACAATTTGAACTAATTCAAATAACTCCAAAACCCACTTTCCAAGATACCACACTTGTCAGAGAACCTTAACTTTAAATATAATTTTAATCTTATTTTCCATTAGTGTAATTTCTGGTATCTTCTCACAATGAAACTTTATTACTTGTTAGAGAGTGGGTACACTTAAACAACTATAAAAATATTTCTGTATTCACTGCTCATCATTTTTTGATATCAAAAATTGGTGTCATCAAAAACTTAAGAATTTTACTGTTTATTAACCTTTATTCAGATATAAATTGCAAAGCTAATACTCGACTAAAGCCAAAATTAATCCTAGTGATTCATGTTATTCCAACTCTTCCACCCAGTGAATCATGTGTTGCTAAGCATTTAGTTTATCACTGTTAAAACAACCTGTGCCCTCCCTACCATGGGCCAGACTATCTTTTTGACAGGTCTTATTGCTAAGCTCTGGTATATGCTTTTTAAAAGTTTAAGTAAATTACATTTTCTGGTATTCCTCATACACGCTCTTCAAAACTAACTGTAACTACTACTTATTTTGTACTATATGCCAAATACAATGCTAGATTTTTTATGCTACTTACTTAGCCATACCAAAGTTCAGATATTATTACCATTTTACACATAAGAAAACTGAGCTGGAGAGATTAGCATGTTCCTAAACTCAAATATATATGGAGAGAGGGAGAGAGGGATGGAGAGAAGGAGGGAGAGAGGGAGGGAGAGAGAGAGAGAGAGAGAGAGAGAGAGAGAGAGAGAGAGAGAGAGAGAGAGAGATCACAATCAGGTGTGTTTGAAGCCTTAGCACTTTAGATAGTCAAAACTACTCCAGTACATAAAGACAAAATACAACTTCTCTCAAATTACATTGGTCCAAGTGCTTGTTATAAATTAAGACTCGCCTACCTATATAAATGTCAGAATGTCTATTTTACACTTTTCATTCCTTACTTTGAGTTCTTAAGAGTGAGGACCACAACAGAAATTATCACATTGGAAATGTCCTCAAAGATAATGATAGGTTTTATTTTTAAAAATATAAAATGATTCTGTGCCATTAATATGCCTGTTTGACCACAACAGAAAGACCTAAAAACCTTTCTAAAGTCTTCCATAGTACTGTGTATTCAAATATCTAGGTTTATTATTGCTTACTATTTTGAAATTTATTATTCAAACATCTAGGTGTATTTATTGTGGTTATTACCGTTGTTGTTTTAGCTTATTGTCATTCTTCAACTCTATCAACTGACTTTGACTGAGGATGATTCTCACAAATGAAAGACTTGTAAGTACCTTCAAGGTACTTTTCAAAGGCTACATTTTATTCAGTTAATTTGAGAATTATGCCCTTAAGAAGAGTATGTATATACAAATTCTATAAAAATATATTCTTGAGCAAATTTTTATAATGTTAAACCCTGTAACTTGAAAAATTAATACTAAAATTTCTATGTACCTGAGCAAGAAGAGGAAAAGAAAGAACACACCAGCTGAGCAAAGGGCAAGGGAACCATATCTTCCTTTTGGAGAAGGGAACTAGTGAAATGAGAAAGTCAGAGCCACCACAGCACTAGTTGCCTCACTGTGGGAACCTTTGGATGACAGAGTATGGTCACGCAAAGAAGAATAAAATGGGATACTGTTGACATCTGTTGGCAAATATCTTACCCATATAGTCTACCAAACAGATATTAATTTTGCTTAATAAAACCCCTTTATAAAGTATAAATGTATGCTTGGAGGATTCAAACCATTGGTTCTTCCTACTTTTATATTAGATTGGAGTCTCTGATTTTTAACTGAATGTTTTGATTGAACTATGGAACATGTCAGAGCATAAATCATAAACGTCCCTGCACAACCTGACAAAATGAGCAAGGTGGAAGTATGGGACAGGAGAAGGGGTCTGGGCTGGAGAAAGGAAGTGAAAAAATACCTACTTTATAATTTTGCCACAGAAAAATAAGAGGCTATGTTTCAGTGATCTCAAAGTTTCCTTCCTGCCTAGAATTGTACCAGGGCTGTTATGCAAAAAATGAATGTTTTACATAGAAAATAATGTGCATGCTATTATTTTTCTTCCCGGAATCTGTCATTCAACTGCTAAATCAAGAGCTCTTTTTTAGTCTATTTTTCAACAATATATAAAAGAAAAAATGGAGTATTTCACTTTCAAATGCTCCCTACTCATCCAGAGTGGCAATCTATCATCTCTTTTCTCCCTTTTTCTCCACCTTCAAATAAATCATCTTCTTAGTTTAAAAAAGAAAATAATTAATTAAAACTAGTTCCAAAAAAAACTAGTTCCAGAAAACATAAGAAAATCAAAGACAGAAACTACATGTAAGTAAAATCTTCTACATAAGTAAATTAATAACACATCTACCAATATGTAATTTGGTAATCAGTATTTGACAGTTGACAGTGAAATCTGGGGTCCAAACGTGATAGATAATTGGGATGGTTGAGAAGCTCTCCTCAAGAACACTCTAAATAAAAACCCTCATCATCACAAGAGAGAAAGAGTGAAGAAAGAGAATACTGTCCCACCAGCCTGCATTCGGTCCTCTGCTCCATTCGTCACGTCATTTTCCCTTCCACCTGCGCATCCTCCACTTGTCATCTTACCTCCTATCAACCCTGCAGGTCCCCGCACGTTCCCTTCCCGTCTGTGGGTCCCACTCAGGATTTACCCACACCTGTTGCACGTCAGCTCCTATCACGGACCCCTAGGACTTCAGACAGGACAGCGGATCACCTGCCCCGACCCCATGTGAAGAAGAGCAAGGGCGGCTGGAGAAGAACTCTTCAACCCATCCCTGGAGGCCCCCCCCCCCGTTAGGTCCCTGGCGCAGTCCTCACTCACAGCGCACAGTGTGGAAGGCGTAGCGCGGATGCTTCTCAAAACTCTCGCCTAACTTGAGAACTCGCTCGCGACGGCCCAAGTGCGCAAGTCCTGCTGGTCCATTCATCACTCTCCTCGGGCTCCGACTTTGCCTCTCGCTATCATCTGCCACCTCAGCCCCAAACAGCTGTGTTTGTGGCCGGCCGCCAGCACTGCCACCACAGACCCCGCCCCGTTCCGGACGCGCGCGTCCCGATTGGCTGGCTGGCGAAGGGCGCTCCGCCCCTTGCCCCGGAGGCTGCTGGTCCCGCCCCTCGGCCCCTTCCCGCGTAGTGACGCACGCTGCCTCACAAACGCCTGCTCGTTTAGCTTCTCGGTGGGAGCAGGGTCGTTTGTGGGGAGGCGGGGAAAGTGAATCCAGGATTAGGTGAACTGAGGTAGCGACTGCGGACGGGGGGCGGTATAATTCTGGAAGGCCCGTACGTCAGGCTCCTGGGCCGAGTGAACCGCCTGTGTGACCTAAGGGGAGAATTGGCTGCTCCACGGCCTTTCTGTGGAGATCTGGCGTAGAAACTGAGGCCCGAGGGGGAGCAGTGTTTTGGGGCACAAGGCCTGGTAGGGCCAAAGCCGGGTCTGGAATCCGGAGTAAGGGAGCCCGCGGGCCCAGGGCCTCGGCTCCAGGAGCTGCCTGGAAGCGACGCCGTTACCCTGGCAATCGTTTTCCGACCCTGACCCTTAAGTAGCAGAGGAAGTTCTCAGTGCTGTTAGGACTGGAGGAGAGGAGAAAAGAGGATTTGAAGTTAAGAACTGCGGAGGACTGGGATCAGCTGTAACTGGGTAGTGTTGAATTTCTTTCTTTATTTTCATCAGAGTGATTCGTGGAAGCAGTGAAGAGCCCGGCCAGGAATAGGTGATTCCTAAAGGATCAAGGCTGAGGCTGGAACTGGTGTTCTGGCAACAGGGTAATACCATTGATAATGATCAGTAATGGTCTTTCATTGTCAGTGTTCCTGAATATGTTGTGCGGATGGCAGAAGCATTGTATTAGAGGAGAAACACCCGAGAAAGGTTTACAAATGGTTGTAAGGTTAGATAGTCATTTTTCAGGGTAATTATGTAATCAAATTATATGCCTTTACTTAACAGTTTTCTCTCTTAGGTGATTTTGTCAGTTTATTGTTCCAGGTAGGTAAGTGCATCTGTCTCCCTCAAACCATTTTTTATAACTTCCACTCTTCTAAGGTATACTGTTTCTTAGAGAAGGTAAGCATTCAGCTTCTGGAGCCTAAAGCTATCGTTAGTGGCTACTTTCTCTTATAGAAGTGTTTATAGATAACAAAATTGGTTCAGAGAACCAGAGTCTTTTGATTGTATGGTCTAAATTCTTACCTATGTCATCCATCAAGCACTTAATATGTATTTTATATACTTAAGAATTTTATGCATATTTATTCATGTGTGTATATGTGTACTCAAAACATACTTTTTTTTCCCAGCCAAAGCATTAGCAGGGAATACGTTCTGTAGCAAGTTCAAGGCTGGCTTGACTATATAGTAAAACCTTGTTTTAAGAAAAAACAAAAGACAAAAACAACAGAACCCTTGTGAAATCCACATTCTAGATGCTAGCCAGGGATCAACCTTAACAGACCTCTAGAAGAATAGCAGCCTCAGGTCTCTCATATTAGTCCCTTTTTGCACACTCAGTTTCTCCTGTATGAAGTCTGTCCTAGAGTTGTGCAGATTAGAGAGTGGCTGTAGCTCAGCACAGTTCCTGACTCTCAGTACATAATAACTGTACTATAACTAGTACATGTAGCTAGAGGGATCTGGAATTCTTGTAGAGTTGCACTTGGTTAAAAAAGGAGGTTTCCCAGTAAGGAAAACACACAAACAAACAAAATCTACCCTTCTCAAACAAGGCAAGAAGAGCTAAGTTTTCATCTATATTGATGTTACATTTCAAGAGTTATTTAGGAAAGGAACATTTGAGGGCTTTTTGATGTTTATTTTCTAATTCTATTAAAATACAGGTAATTAAGAAATGAAGCCAACAGATACAGACTCAAGGATCTTATCTCTAGCTGCTGAAGTTGCCAAAAGTCCTGAGCAGAATGTGCCTGTTATTTTGTTGAAGTTAAAAGGTAAGAAAATAATTTTCTGATTAAGTAACACTAGAAGTTAAAAACAGTTCTATCCTTGATAATCTTAACATTTGTTTCTGATTTGTTTAAAGGAATCTTAACAGTGTGACATAGCAGTTTTTCCTTTTGAATATAGTTTTGTGATTGTCCCATATGTAAAAATCAAGTAGTTCTTGAATGAATTAAGCAATAATAAGTATATCTTATTTTCTTTTGCCTTAGAAATAATAAACAGCACACCACTAGGAAGCTCAGAGTTGAAGAAAATCAAACAAGATATATATTGTTATGACCTCATTCAGTATTGTCTCTTGGTCCTCAGGCAAGATTGTTCTCGAATCCAGGGTGGTTGGGCTACCATTTCCCAGCTTACACAAATAGTAAGGTAAAATGAAGCCTGTTCTTGAAGAATTTATATTTGGTTCTAAATTTCAACATTTTCTGCTTTTTTGTTCATCTTCCTAACAATAATTTGAACTTCCTATGATAGACTGTGATTGTACTTTTCTTTTATACCACAGAATCGGCCCCCCCCAAAAAATATAAACACTTCAGGGAAAAAAATTGTATAAATAGTTTAATACTAAATTTATTGAGACATCATGAGATTAAACACACATTACCTTTGCTTTCTACAAGTGCATGAGTTGCTCAAAGTGTTGGCATTCACTTCCAGACATTTATTAGTACAGCCTGGGTAACCTTGGTCATTGAGATTGCTGCACATACATACGTTTTCAATTTATTCTCCAAGAGCTGGCAGTGTTGTGGGTTTTCTGTGATATACCACATCCTTTAGGGCCTCCCATGTGAGGGTAACACCACCTATTGAAAAAACATCATACTATTTTTCTTTCCTGAAGAGTGTATACACTGTTTTTGGCAGACTCTGTATTGTTATGTCTATGTACTGTTACTGTTGGTAACTCTTATGTGCAATTGTCTAAAAATTCCCTCTGTAAGTTTTTTGAAGATGGTGATTATTTCTTTTACTCACCACTGAATCCAAAGTGGCTGATACACTTTTTATTATCTCAGGAATATTTGAAGAAATACAGAAATTAACGCACTGGCTCTTGAGAAATGTACAGTAGAGAGCGGGTAACAATTACTGTAAATATATGTATGACACAAGTAAAATAGGTGCTAAACTTCATCTTGATTAGCTGTCAATTATGTTCATTAGATAACACAAATCCTGTCAATAAAATTTTAAAACAGCATTTATTTTCCTATTGCCATGCTAAAAATTGAAAGAACAAAGTCATTTTTCAAAAGATAGCAATAAAATAAACTAGATGGTCTCAGTGCCTAAGCTTCCTGATCAAGTAACTGAAATTGTGCATTTATTAACTATGTCCTAGCCTGTTTTCTTTTCTTACTTTAACAAGCCATTTGATTTTAATGTACCATCCCCACTGAAAGGGTCTTGTCATATTTACATTGTCTTGCTCCTAACTTTATAAACTGTTTACTCCTACCTACTTTATTACTAGATAAAATCCAAATTAAAACTATACAGTTACAAAGAACTGCTAACAAATATACAATACATAATACTCTTTTTAAACTTTTAATACTTTTTAAACTTTATTTTTCAAGATTAATGATTTCCTTAAGTAAATAAAGCCTTACTTTTTTGATTTGATTATATACACTGGCTCATGACAATATTGATATTTGTACTTAATATTCTCTATAGAAATAGATATTCTTAAGTAATTAATTTTAAGAACCAAAGAGAAAATAAAAGTTGATACATGTAAACATCAGCCAGTTTGGTTTTTAGTATGTTTAATGTGGAGCTGTTACTGCTTATCAGTGTCTGCACACTACTGAAATGGCTCAAACGCCAGTACTTACTCATTAGACTACAACCCATTCTGAGGCTGGAGCTCTTTTTGGTATTATTCTACTATGCAAATACTTTTTATTATTGAGACTTCTGAATATATTCAACTCATAACCAGGGAATAGCTTTTTTGTGTGCAATTTCAATATGTTTTTCTCTAAGTGACTTTTCTTTTTTAATGTATATTCTAAAGGGATCTTTCAGGAATTAAGTTTTTGCCATTTTCCTTTCTGATATAAACAATATACAGGTAGGTCATTTTCAGATCTTAGGAAAGAAGTAGAATTGGGAAGTAGAATTGGTATAAAGTTACAGTAGAATGTTTGATTTCTTTATCTGTCTCTTGACTGTTATTCCTGCTCTGGGTTCAAAGAAATGATATTCATGAATTAAAAAGTTGAAATATTCTGTGGCTTTTAGAATAATTATATTCAATTGACTGAAAACTTGACTCATTTCTGTTTATTTTTGAGCCAAATGACTTTCATTTCCCAAAGGGCTGATATATTGGTTTTTAAAATATGTGCGTCCTGAACCTACAAGGTCTACAACACGGTTTACTTTTCTAGAAAGTTGTTGGTTTGATTTTCCAACAAGTTTTTTTTACTGGCTTGGCAACAGAAGATGGATGCTAAAGGTACTCATTAAGGTACCATACCTATATAAATTTAATATTCAGTTGAAATTTATGATTAACACAAACTTGTGCTCTTGTTTTAGCCATTGTTGTGTGGGCTTAGAACCAGGAGAAGATGCAGAGGAATTTTACAAGGAATTACTTCCACTTGCTGCAGAAAATTTTCTAGTTTTGGGGAAAAGATTGCAAGCATGTTTTCTCAATACAGCTAAGGTATGTGTTTATTTAATGTTTTATGTTTTATAGCCAATCATTTAAATTCTTGAGATGGTGTCCCATGTTATTTTTCATGTGTGCAATATTTGACCTAAAGTACAATTAGAGAAGTAAATTTAAACATTTTTAAAATTACAGCAAAAAAGTCTCTACATTTGAAAAATTTTAAATGCTGGCTGAAGCATGCTGTATAACTTTTTGAAGAATTATCCATACTAAATTTTGGGCATAACCCATAGGTATGTATGTCCATAACATCTTCCTGACACACTTTCTCCTTAAATTATATTGTCATTCCCTTCTACACGTAGAGGAAAATTTGTTTTCTAATCTTAGGACTTTTCTTATTGGCTCCAGTGGTGAAGAAGAATAAAGGTATTTTTTCAATTTGATTTTTCAAATCTCTTCTCTAATCAACATATTTCATTTTAAATGTTGGCCTGTTCAAGTATTTCATGGGTGGACTGTGCTAGATACTCTATATACTCTTTTTGACATTTAAGTTTAGAAATGTGTTGCTTAATTTTTAAATATTTGAAGATTTTCTAGATACTTTATTGTTATCAAGTTCCAATTTAATTTTATTGTGGTCAGATAACATCCTCTAAATCATTTAAATCTTGTGTATTTTTTTTAAGGCTCATTTTATGCCACTCAATATTTCATCTTGGTTTATTTTTCCTTTCTGCATTTTAAAGATTTTGCTCTATCATCTTGTATGTATTGTTTCTATTATAAATTCAGCTTTCATTCCTATTGTCAGCCTTTATTCTTACTATCTATTTATGTATCTTTTTAGCTCTCACTGCCTTTAAGACACTTCTGTTTTCTTTGGTTTGCAGCAATTTTTCTTTGATGAACCGTGGTGTGGATTTCTTTATACTTATCTCACTTGGGGTTTTCTCAGCTTCATTTATCTGAGTCAGTGTATTTATTCACATTAAGAATATTTTCAGCTATGGTACTGAATTTGGTTATTAAATCTAGAAGTCTTTAGTTGGAGTTTTTGGGATCTTCTAAGTAGAGTATCATGTCATCCACAATAACAATAATTTAACTTCTTCTTTCCTATCCTTGTCCCTTGTATTTCTTTCTCTTGTCTAATTGCTCTGGCTGCTTCTAGAACTGTATTGAATAACAGTGGTGACAGTGGACATCCTTGTCTTGCTTTTGATTTTAGGGTGAAAGCTTTTTAGTTTGATGTTGACTGTTTATTTATCATAGATGGCTTTTATCAGGTTGAGATAAAGAACATCTATTCCAATTTTGTGTAGAGTTTTTTTTTTATCATGAATGGGTGTTGGACTTTGTCAGATACTTTTTCCACATCTATTAAGATGATCCTATGGTTTTTGTCCTTGGCTCTGTTAATATGGTGTATTACATTTATTGATTTGCATATGTTGAACCATCCCCTTATCCTTCAGATGAATCCTACTTGGTCGTGGTATGTAATCTTCATGATGATTTGCTGCATTGTGTTTGCCAGTATCTTAGTGAGGAGTTTTACATCTATGTTCACTAAAGAGATCAACCTGTATTCCCTTTTTTGGTTGGATCTGTCTATGGTTTTGGTATCAGGGTAATGCTTGCTTCCAGGAATGAATCCAGAAGTATTGCTTCCCTTTCAATTTCATTAAAGAGTTTGAGAAGTAGCTTCAGTGAGTCTTCTAAATTTCTTGGCGCTGGGGATTTAACTCAGTGGCACAGTACCTGCCTGGCAAGCGCAAGGTCGTGCGTTTGATTCCTGGTACTGGAAAAAAATAAAAAACAAATAAAAAACCCAACACAGTAAATTTCTTGTACAATTCATCCGTGGATCCATCAGGTCCAGGGCTTTTTTTGCAACCACTGTAGAAATCAGTGTGGAGATTCCTCAAAAAACTAAGACTAGAGGTTTCATTTGACCCAGCTATTCCCCTTCTTGATCTCTTCCTAAAAGAATTAAAAGCATAATACCACAGAGATATATGTACACTTATGTTTATAGCAGCACAGTTTGTAATAGCTAAATCTTGGAAACAGCCCAAATGCCCATCAACCTATAAATGGATAAAGAAGACGAGGGTTTTTTTATACAATGGAGTATTACCCAACCATAAAGAAGTTGAGACATTTCTAGGCAAATGGATGTACCTTGAAACCATACTCTTAAGTAAATAAATCAGACACACATGTGTAAATACCTTTTTTTTTCTGGTGTGAGAAACTAAATGTGTAAGTAAGGACCAAAATATATAATAGATATTGCAAAATAGGAAGAAAATGTTCAAATGGGAAGGGGAACTAAGAAGGGGGAGGAGGAAAGGAAGGGAAAAGAAAAGAAAAAAACAAAGTAAGGAGGAGAAGAGAGGTTGAAAGGAAGGTAGGGGAATGGGGGAAAAAAGAATCAAGACATATCATGAACAGGTACAAATTCCCTATGATGAATGTGACAATTATGCATACCTAAAATGTACCAATAAACTTAATTAATTTTTAAAAAGAATATTTTCAGCCACTGTTTCTTCAAATACTTTTTCCTGCCGTGTTCTTTCTGCTTTCCATCTAAGACTTTAGGTTGTTGAGGCTCTATTTATCTTATTACTGTTTACTTCAGTTTATGTAACTTCTGTTGGTCTGTCTTCAAGGTACTAACCCTTTCTTGTGCTTTGTCTTATCTTTCTGAAACCTCATCTAGTGAATTTTTTGTTACATGTATTTTATTAGCTGTATGATTTCTATTTACTTTTCTTTTAGTGTTTTCATAATTGTGAAATTCTGTTTCTTTTTATTTCCCAATTTTGCATATTTTTGTAATACACAGTAAATGTATTCATTGTGGGGCAATTGGTACATATTATATCCTGATCCTTTTTATTTCTCCTTACCCTCCTCTTCCATCTCCCTCTTTTTTAGATCTTCATCCCATCCTTTTAAAGAATCAACTCTGATTCATTGACGCTTTGTATTCTTTTTTAAGTCTCAAATTCATGTACTTCTACTCTAATCTTTATAATTTCTTTTCTACTATTAATTTCACAACTGAATTGTTCTTCTCTTTCTAGGACCTTTGGATGCATCCTTAGGTTATTTATTAGGGATTTCTCTATTCTTTTATTTTCTTTTTTTCTTTTTTTATTTCTTTTGTGGTGCTGGGGATTGAACCCAGGGCCTTATTCATGCAAGGCAAAGAGCTCTTCCACTGAGCCACATCCCCAGCCCTGCTGTGTTCTTTTAATATGTGCATTGTCTTAGAACTGATTTCATTGTGCCTCACCAGTTTTGGTAGGTTATATTTTCATTATCATTTGATTCTGGGAACTTTTTTTATTTCTTTCCTGATTTTTTTCTGTGATCCATTGATTATTCAATAATATATTACTTAATTTCCATGTGTTTGATAGTTTCTGTGGTTTTGTATGCTGTTGATTTCACTATAATTTGATAGTATTTCAATTCTTTTGTATTTATTTGGAAATACACATTTTGGAAAAAGTTCTGTGTGCTATTGAGATAAATGTATATTGTTATTTTTGGATGAAACACTCTGTAGATATTTGTTAATTCCATTTGTTCAACAGTAGTTTAACTCTGATGTTTCTTTGTTGTTTTTTTTTGTCTGGGTGACCAGTGTGGTTGTGAGAGTGGAGTGTGGAAGTCCTCTACTGTGATTGTATTGATGTATATTTTTACTTTGAAGTCCAGCAGATTTTGCTTTATGAAATTACATGTGTCCACATTTGGTGCATAGTTATGGTTGTTACCTCTTCCTGTGGAATTGTTCCCTTTACTAGTATGTATGGGCTATCTTTTTTTTTTTTTTAATCAGTTCTCCTCCAAATACCATCACATGAAGTTTTGAGGACACAAACAATAGTCACCATGTTATGTTAGGCTCCATTTTATGAGCTTTGATTATATTAAGAATGGATACTGTTTTGGACTTAGGGAATTTTCAGGCTAATTAAGTAGGTAAGATCTTAGCTATTTCTTTTAGGACATTTATGATAGGTGTACATTTAATTCCAAAAAATCACGAAATAGAATAATTATAAGAGAATTGAGTGAGCAACACAACATGGACAACGTGATTTAAAAAATATTGTTAGCAGAGAATTTAACTCAGTAATCACAAATTCTACTTTTGGCATCTCCACTGAAAGACACTAGCACTAAATAAACATTTACATTTCATTAGATTTAATTTAATTCAGGTCAGTTGAAGAAACATAAACAATGAGAAATAGTATTAGACATTCATTTCTTTTGCAAAAAATCATTTTTTTCTGACTGTGCTGCAAACTAACTCAATTCCTTTAGGTGAATCATTTTATTTCACTTTACCTGATTTTTTTCATGCATGAAATGATTTTTGTCTCATGGATAGCTCAGACTATTATATAAGCTTTTCTTCCAACCTCTTTTACTTAATATTCCCCCTTTAAGGCTATTGATAATTATTTCTTTTCATTTATATAGCATACATTAATATATTAATTACATATTAATTAAATTACATATTAATATGTGATCTAACTAGTATGTATACCTTATCTGAAATGCTTGGAACACCCACATTTACATGTGGTTTTCAACCCTGGGTGCATAATCAAACCACACACCTTACTTTGTGAAAATGCAGATGTTCACACTTCACTTTTGGAGATTAGGATTCAATATATTTGGACTAATACTTGGTGTAATTTAAAACTGCACAGGTGATTCTTATGCATGGCAAGTGGTAAGAGATCCTACTGTATAAACTGTTATTATATAAACTACTTCTTTTATCTGAATGGCAACCATAGATAGAAGGTAGAGTAAGTACTAGTATACTGTAACCACAAGTTTCACAAATGAAGACACCAAAAACTACAAGATCTTATACTTCATAAATAGCTGTTAGGTCCAGAAACTGATTTCTTCTCTTCTGGCTCCCCAAAGGGAACTCTTTTTTATTTAATTAAAACAAATTTCATAAAAGTAAATTGGATTTTTTGTGTGTGTTAAGGGTGAAGAAAAAGATGAATTACTACTCTTTTTCCAAATTGTGAGTGATTCTCTGTTATGGCTATTGGGAGGCCATGTTCAACTCATACAGAATGGTAAGACAAAATGTTTTTAATGTAACAGATAATCATTATAAAGTCAATGCTAATAGTTTGACATTTTTTAAAACATATAAGTGCCTTATAACTATATAGATAACCACAGTGAAGTGAAACCATGTTTAAGTAACCCCACAATAAAAAAGAAAGGCCATTTGGATAACTCAGATTTAAATAATAAGCACTGACAGCATGAATATTGTATTAAAAGGAATTTGCTAAGACATAACTTTCTTCTTAGCTGTTTCTGTGTAATAAACCTGCAGTAAGGTTTAACTGAACAGTTTAGTCTAAGAAAAATTTAAGTTTCAAAGATTATAGCTAGTGTTTTAGATCTACTGTGAGAGAGATCCCTGTGTATGGAGTAGAAATGATTTTACTCATAGCCTAGCCATAAGGGTAAGTTTTAGTGGTTGCTTCAGAAGTACATATACTAAAATTAGAACCATGTAGAGAAGATTAGGATGGCCCTGGTGTAAGGATGACATATAAATTGATGCAGTATTTCATATTTTTGTGAATAGTTGCAAAGTATCTCTGAAAAATTATATATATTGTGGTTTTATATAATAAATATTTTCCAAAGATGAAAACAGTCTACTGAAGGAAAATGTGCATTAAATATGTTAAATAAGGTGTTACAGAAAAAAAGTAAGCTTTATATGACATTTACATTGAGAATTATAAATGTTTTAATTTTTATGTTGATTTCTTAAGACAGATCTTTGATGATATTTATGGCACAATTCCTATTCTCTTTAAAAATCTTACCTAGTATAAATATAAAACTAAAACTTAGTAGTGCATGAATATTTGTTTTTAATTCCGGTTTTTTTCTCCAGAATCATGCATGCCCACAGACAGTCCAATATTTCTATAAGTATTGTTGAGAAAAACACAATCCCTGACTCTCAGGCTCATTTCATTTCTCATTTTCTAAGGGTAACTACTTTAATTAGTATAACTGAAAGTATAACTTTCAATTAGTAGTACTCTGAATAGTTAGATCTATATAGCTAAGTAATAATCCTAAATACCTTTTTAAAGCATTTCCTATTAGTTTCTCATTATGGAACTATTATCATTATTATTATTATTATAAGTTCCCCAATTTAAAGAACTATTTAACCAGTAATAAAGTACAATGGTACCTCGGTTCACCAACTTAATTTGTTCCCCAATTCTGGGGAAGATGGCTGCATTTGTGCTCATGGGCAAAGATGGCTTCGCTTATCACTCAAAGCAGAGTTGGGGGACAGAAGCAAAATTTTGCCTAATGCTTTTGTTTGCGAATTGAATTGTTCATGAACACAGGTGTTTGTGAACTGAGGTTCAGTATTATTGTACTGTACTTAGGACTATAAATATAAAGACCTAGTAAAAAGAGAGAAAAAACTTGAAAATTTCAGAAATATACCATATTCCATTTTGAAAAGAACAATAGCAAAGGATTAACTGTTCCTTGAGTTAATCTACAGATGTAAAGAATCTGTAAAATAGGTCTTAAAACTACATTAAATGATTGTAAATTTTATATGCAAAAAATAAATGGATAAATTGAAATTGTAGTTTCCTACAACCTTTTCCCTATAAAAGGAAGCACTTCCTTGGAGAAATGCTAGACTGTTGGCATGGAATACTTAGTATATAAGGTGAACCTGAAGTGTCTTAAATGTCCAGTGTAAAATACTCACAGTCTACTAGGATTTTATGAAAGGGAGTTAAGAGCCAAAATAAAGATGATTCTATTAGAATACTACAGTGGATTACAGCACATCAAATATAGTAAGACTTAAAAAGAAATAATCATTGGAGTCAGCTAGGGAGCTAATTCATTTCTTAAACGTAATAAGTGAAGAATCCAGCCATTTAACCTGCCTTTTCTTATACATAGATGAGGAAAATTTTCTCAGTATAAAAATAATAAGTGAAAGATGTATGATATGATAGTGCCCATTTTATAAACCCTTCATGAATTACCAGATTTAAGAATTGATTGGCCATGGCTGTCAGCATCTTGAAAAGAAATAAGTTCATTCTGGTGGGTTATCATAACTGATAAAATATATGAGCCAGAAATTCAAACCTGAAACACTTTAGTCATCTAGCTCCAACTGCCAGTTTACAGATAATCAAAGGAACAATTTATACCTAGGAATGCAGTTAACAAAACCTTCTCGTGAAGCTTATAGAACAATGATGGCAAGCCTTTAGAGTGTTCAGTAATGCCAGCAGCCTCCTGCGGCACACGCGCAATAGATTTGCCACCATAGAACAATTGACACAGATTCTTCAACAAAAAAATAAAGAATACAGAAGGATAGTCTGTAGATTAAAAGAAATTAGAAGATAAAACACCTGTTCTTCGAGATAATTAAAGGTAGCCCATCTTAAATGGAAAATATATTTAAGTACAGAGAATATTTTTCCTACCAAAATAGTAGAACATAAAAAGCCTCAGAACTATTTAATAATGATGCAATTTTTTTCTGAGTTTTTTTTTTCATTAAGTTTATTGGTACAATTTAGATACACATAATGATCACATTCATCATAGGGAACTTGTACCTGTACGTGATACATCTTGGTTCCTCTTTTTTGTTCCCCATTCCCCTCCCCTCCCTTCAACCCTTCTTACCCTCCTTATTTACAAAGCTTTGTTTCCATTTTATCCTTCCTCCCCACCCCATTCACTTTTCTTCTTGAACAATTTCTTCCTATTTCACAACATCTATTAACATTTTGGTTCTTAGTTATACTTTCAGTTTCTTATACCAGAGAGACAATGGATATTTACACGTGTCCAGTTTATTTCACTTAAACATGCTGTATAGTAAAATACTGCACTATATACATAGAAATGAAGAACAGAAATTAGTATGAAGAAGAAATCAAATACTATGTTCGCCCAGGAGATAAAAAGGGAAAAAGAATAAAATGGTTTTGTAGAAGCTAAGATAGGATCCACAAAGCCAAGTTGCCAATACACCTGATGTCACTTTAATCTCATTTGGTTGACAGAGTAAAAATAAACACTGGCATTTATTGGGAAGGTAGGCTGTTTCAGGACATTATACATTAGGCTGTGCAAAAGCCATTTATTTCTAGTTTTCCAGATAAATAAATGGAAGTTCTGAGAGGTTAATCAAGTTGCTTCAGCAGCCAGTGACAAATATTTCATACTTGGCTGCTCAGAGCATATAAGCTATAAACCATTAAAATGAAATTTTTGTATTTAATGTTTCCGTTATTATTTATACACTGAAATTCATTGTTAGATAAATTTAGGGATAGGGTGGATATGTTATTTTATTTTCAATTTAAAGAGAGATAATAAGTTATTTCCTTGATATTTATAGATGCTTTCTTGACTACATTCATAAAAGTGAAATAACTATTATTTATAGTTATTTAAAATTGCCTATGTCTTAAAAAACTTTAATAGTATGGCATACAAAGCTAGGAAATCTTGGGGCTGGGGATTTAGCTCAGCGGCAAAGCGCCTGCCTGGCAAGTGCAAGGTCGTGAGTTCAGTTCCTGGTACCGGAAAAAAAACCAAAAAAAAAAAAAAAAAAAGCTAGGAAATCTAGTAGAAATGGTCATGTTTTGATTTAGTTTTAAAAGAACAAAATCCCACTTGTGTTATTAGAGAAGCTTTATTTTAATCTCTTTTATCTCCTCTTTTAGTACTACAAAGTGATCATTTCTTACACTTACTGCAAACTGACGATGTTCAAATAGGATCTACAGTCATGACTCTGCTGCAGAATATATTACAAATGAACAGGTGACTTGGTTATTAATTTATTTTTGTTTAGAAATTAAGCAGTTTTATTCCATTTAAAAGTAGTATGCAGTTAATTTTTGCTAAAATCAATTGTATATAACTTGTACATGGTATTTAAACTCTGTTACCATTGTCTTACAGAAAAAATTAATATGAAATATTGTAAAAGATTTGGACATTTATTATCAAATTGGTATCTTATTCAAAGCTGTAACAATTCCCCAAGATGAATGTAATTATTATGTATTATGAATATATACCAGTAAAATTAAAAAGATCTTAGGCTAAATCTCAGACTTTGAGAATTGGTGTGATATCTGAAGAAAAATATCGGGATCACAATAAAAAATGTTTACATAGTCATTCAACAGACAACAAGCTCATCATGATGATGAAGAGTATAAAAGAAGTAATACTTGCTCATATTAAAGTTGAAAGGCAGAATATACACAGCTGAAATAATGCATTCTTTCACTTCAGTATGGATTTATTAAGCAACTACTACAAAATTATGTCGTTGCACTTACAAAGTTGATTGAGATATAAACCTTCAAAGATCCTACAATAGCGTGAAAGAGATAGACACGTGAACATAATTATAGTATATTGCAATGCAGTGTTAAAGTTGTCCACAGGTATTACAGGAACTTCTAATTCAAAGTGAAGGGAGGTGCTTCTTGGAGAAGGTAACACCAGAGTTGAAACTACAAGGAAGATAAATTGACCAGAGAAGATGAGGGGGAAGTGGTATTTCTAGGCAGAGGTAATAACACAAGTAAAAGCACAAAGGTAGGAAACATCAGGCTGCTGGTGAATGGCAGAGACAGTTCATTGTTGCTTAATGAAACCTTCAGTGTTGGAGGTGGCCAGCAAGTTCTACAGATACTTAGGTCATGAAAAATTTATGATGTTAAGAAAAATACATCCTAAGTCTTAGGCATTGGAGATTTTTTTTTTAGTATTTGAAAATGGTCAGATTAAATTCAGTGTTGTTACTGTGGTAATCGTGGAGGAAAGGTAAGGGGAACAGGATTCTAGACAAAGGTGGCATTTTGGAGGAAGCAACTGTAGCAATGCAAATGAAGTAATGAAATCTTGGCCCTGGGCACTGGCTGGGAAATGGACTTTTTAAAATAAAATCATCATGACTTGATTTCTACTTTGTATTAAGATGTAATAATAGGGACAATTTACCCTCTCATCTGAAACAAATAAAAAATCAATTTTTAAATATTGAATATCAATGAATGAATGAAAACTTTCCAGAGAAAAGGTATAAATAAGGTTGCACTAGCCAGCTTTCTGTCACTATAACAAAAATACCTGAGATAAAGTTATAATGAGAAAAGATTTATTTTGGCTTAAAGTTTAGAAGCTACAGTCCGTGATCAGTTTGCCCCATGGCTTTGAGTCTATGGTGAGACAGCGCATTAAAGCAGGAGCACATGATTTAACAAAATCACTCACCTCATGGCCAGGAAGCAAAAGGGAGAAAAAGAACCTAGGTCCCACAGTTTTCTCCAAGGACATGACCCCAAAGACTTGAGGACCTCTCAGTAAACCTAACCTCTCACAAGTTCCCACACCCCCAACAGCACCATCCCGGGAACCAAGGACAGTCAAGACCCAAGCTTTAGGAAAAATGAAGCTCACAATTGCACTGACAAAGTATTGAGAGCGTTTCTAGGCTATGGTATAGGGAAGAATATCCCAGCTTGAGTTGAAGAGAGACAGCTGAGATTCCAGGGAGAATAAAATTACTAGAGTTCAGAAGACAGAATACTAGAGAGAGCTATACCAGAGATCTTCAGAGGGTTCCCTTGAAGTATGCAATAGAGTACTGATGAGTGCGTATGTGTGAAAAAATTTAATGTCAGGGAGAGCAGTCATCAAAAAGGATAAAAAGTAAGTGTCAGCAGCTCACCCAAGACTGGGAATAGTGCCTGGTGCAGCCAAACTTGAAAACCTTATACATACTGGGGCATCGGGTAGAATATTCAGGAAGGTTTCACTTTGGTACTGGGGAAAAATTAGCATTAAACTGAGCCCTCTTCCAGACCACCTAAACCAATACTAAAAGCAAACTAAACATGGTTATTGAAACTGCCTATATTTTAAAATCTTTTTATTATAGGACATATAAAGGTAGGAAGTTAAGCAGAAATGGTCATGCTTTAATTTGTCTTTAAAAGGATGAAAAAATTATGAAAAATTATAGGCTCATGCCTATAATCCCAGGACTCAAGAGGCTGAGGCAAGAAGATCATCATCAGTTCAAGGCAGCCTGGGATATATAGTAAGTTTAAGGCCAGCCTGAAGTATAACAAGACTCTGTCTCAAAAACCAAAACAAGCAAAAAAAGAGGAGAGAATCCCACTAGAATTCCATCATAGAATACTGCCTTTGATCACTCTTTTTCTCCTTTAGTACTACAAACTAAACATTTCTTGTATTACTGCAAACTGATGATATTCACATAGAATCTGTAATCATGACTATGTTGCAGAACATACTACAGCTGAGCAGTTAAAATGGTTTTACAAATATTACTAATTTTTTATTCTGGTCAGCCTCAACAAGTCAAAATGTTTTGCATGAAAAAAGGGGCCAGGCATTCAAAGAAGCAGGGAAACAGTACTCATGATGAGAAGAATCAGTTGATCAAATCTAGTGCTGTGTTAGATAAGGACATTGTGATGGTTATCATAACTATGTTCTACATACAGTTACTTAAAAAATTGAATAGAGAGCTGTGTGACAAAAGATCCAAACTGAACTTCTGGAGATGAAAACTAAAGTGTCTGAGATGAAAAATATATTAGATGAAATTAATAGCAGATTAACAATGTAGAAGATTAGTGAACTTTAAGGCATGTCAACAGAAACTATCCAAAATGAAGGAGGAAAAAGAAAAGGAAAGAAAAACATATCAATGAGCTATAGAACAAATTCAAGCAGAATTATATGGGTATAATCAGAATACCTAAAGGAAGTAGAAGGGTCAGGAGAAAAATTGAAGAAATAATGACTAAAATTTTTCCAAATTTGATAAGAGCTATAAACTTGTATTATTCAAAAATCTCATCAAACCCCAAGAAAAATAAATATGAACACAATTCCACATCAAGGTATATCATAATTAAATTACTTAAACCAGAGGTAAAAAGAAAATTTTAAAGGCAACCAAAGCAAAAGTATACTTTATATAGAAAAATGAAAATAAAGATGGCAGCAGTTTTCATACCAGAAACAATACAAGCTAAGAAACTGTTGAGCAACATCTTTATCTAGTGTCCCTTGTGAAGTTGCAGTTCAAAGTTGGCCTCAGTTGTTAATTTCAGCAAAGATTTCCTAGATTTTTAGGAAAGAATATACACCCAGACTACATCCAGAGTAAATACCCACCAAGTAAGAACATGATTATACTTCATCAAAAGTTTGAAAGTCTGTTCTTCAGAGACACTTGTGATGAAACAAGGAAGTACGTACTTGAATGTAGAATATATAAATTGCTGTCAGAGTTTTCTAAAAGGCAGTTTGAAAACTAGGCAAAATATTTGGACACTTCATGAAAGTAAATACTTATATAGCAAATACTCAATGTGAAAAGATTTTTGTCCGCACCATTAGTAAAGAAGTATGACTACACAGAAACACTAACTCAACTATTGCCAAGGCAGTGAAGGAGCTCAATGTTATGTACATTGCTAGTGGGAATGTACAATCACTATGGAAAATACCTTGGCCATTTATTAACAACCTACAACTATACCTACCATATTATCTATCTGTTCTACTCCTGAGTATTTGTCTCAGATAAATGAAAATAGCCATATAAGACTGGTACACAAATGTTCATAGCAACTTTACTTGTAATTCCTAAGGACTAGAAACAGTTCAGATGTCCAACAAAAGTGAATGAACTGTGATATATCCATATCATGGAATACTATTGGACAATAAACAAAAGTAAGCTATTCTCTTGGCGATACAGATGAATATGAAAATAATCCTGAATGAGAGAAGCCAGACAAAAATGTACGTACTATATTATTCCATTTATATAAAATTCTACAAAATACAAACTATTTTGACAGAGAGCAGGTCAATGGTTGCCTGAGAGCAGGGTGTTAAAGGGCACGGAGGGAAAAACTATAATGAAGTACAAGGAAACTTAGAGGATAATGGATATGTTCATTTTTTAGTATACTTTGGTGAAACATCAAACTGATCAAATTGAATCCTTTAAATATCTGCAGTTTGTTATGTATCAGTTATACTTTAATAAAGCTATTTAAAAAGTTTAAAACCCTCAGGACATGGTATCAAATGTGATACCAGGTTCTCTATAAGTGAGTCAATAGACTGTGGCATGGAGTTAAATAAAGACTTGGTTTTATGAGATGAGTCATAAATCCCGTGTTGGTTATGTTAGAAATAGGCAATCAAGCAGGCAGTAAAATAAATGTGTATACACAGACTTGTACATAAATGTTCATTTTTGCTTTATTTGTAATACCCAAGGTCTAGAAATCACTCAAATGTCCCTCAGCATGTGAATTAATAACTGACTTATAGAAGGGATCTGGACTAGAGTTACAGATTTATAATCTGGCAGCTTTTAAATGGTAGTTGAGAACATGAAAGAAGATAAGAACAATGGAATTTATGAATTGAGTATGAAAATACATATGTTGAAAATAGGGTGCTGGCAAATAACATTAAAGGGTTATACCAGGGAGGGGGAAATCCATGAAGGAAACTGAGAAAGAATGGTCAGGAATGTGTGGACATAGAATGAAAGGGAACCATAAGGATAGTGTATCACAAAGCAGAGTAGGTAGAGAAGATCCAGTAGAAACAGGTCCCAGAAGAAGAGCACTTAATGATAAATATGTGGCTTTGATATTTGGGAAGTTATATAGAGGAAATAAACTTATGAAGGGCCATTGAGTGAAATAGTGATAGAGAATATAGTCATTTGAGAAATGAATGAGAAGTATGGAAATAAAGATAGGGAAGTTTGTGTTAGAAAAGAGCAAAAAATATTAAGATGGTAGTTAGTGGCCTGAAGAGGATATTTTTTGAAGTATTAGAAATTGCAAAGCATTGAAAAGTATTTGAGATAATTATTGCTTATATTATATATTATCATATAAAATAAACTAGTGGTATATGGAAGATGGAAGTACTATAGGGATATGTATGGAAGGCTTTCTGAAATAAGTATATTTTTTACATGAGTGTTAAATACTGTAATGACAGTAAATGATGCAAGGGAAAGTGGAGAGAATCCCTGGCCTATGGAATAGCATAGAACCAAGGTGGCAGAAACAGTTAAGGAGTTTCCCAAGTATTTTGGTCAGATGACTTTTAAAGTCTTTCAATTCTGAGCTATTTAATAGGGTACTGATCTCTTTTTCTCTTAAATTCATGTTGGTCACTGCTTAAGTATAACTTTCAAAAAGCTAGCAGTATGACTCATGCAAATACTAAATTTAACTGGTTAAATTCTTATTCAACTTACTGGTTAATGAGGAGACCTATAAGATATTTAAATAAGCTCAAAAGAGAATTTGGGAAAGGGAGATTTATAGAGTTGATTTATCATAATGTAGAAATGAATTTTTGTCATAGACCTAGGAAAATTTTGCTGATAGAAAAAGACCAATGTCTTCTGAAACAATCTATAATAGCCTTTAGAATTTCTTTGTCTGCTGCATAGAAATTGTTTGCATTGCTGTTGAGTAGGTCTATTTGCATTTGTTCTACAAATCACTGGCAATACCCAATTTCTACCATCAAACTTAAAGTATGGTATTTTAATAGTCAAGGGATACCCCTAGAAAATCACATAACTTTGTAAGGGAGTTAGTGAAAGAATGTTTAGTTTCTGTTTTAGGTAATTTTTCATGACTTCAATAATGTAAAATGAGGTTGTTAGTGTAATAAAGGAAATAGCAAAGAAAAGGTGAAGTTCTTCCTAAACTAAGCATATGGTCTTTGTACATCTTTAATAATTAAACCTGTATTCTCTTGTGATTTTACTTATTATTGCCTTGAATCTTTTTGTTTGTCTTTGTTTTTTCAAGACCGTATTTCACTATGTAGTTCAAGCTGACCTTGAACTTACTGTATACCCCAGGCTGGCCTCCCTTCAGCAAATCTCCTGCCTCAGTCTTCCAAGTGCTGGAATTATAAATGTGTGCCACCACCTCAAAGCTTTAAATCATTTGCTATTAATGCTTTAGTTTCTCCGAGGACTTTCTTTGGCTACTTTGTATTCTCTGTTGTACCTAGCATGGCACACTGTACATGGTATGAATTCAATAAGTATTAATTGATTTAATACGATGTATACTTGAAACCAAGCTATATATTTTAAAAAGTGGCTACCTTTTTGGATCAGGCCACAGGCATCAAGTTACTGAATCTTTTATTTTGAATTTGTTGTAATAACTATGCATAAGTTAATAATGATATTTTTTTCTTTTGTTCTTTTAGCGGTGATCTACTCAGAATAGAAGGGAACACCCTGCATTTGATTTTAGATGAAGTTATTTCCAAGCTTTTATTAACCCCTAGTCTACTCCTAAAAAGTACTGCTGTGAAGCTTCTACTGTGGATGGCTCAATCCCATCAGGAAATTTTGATTTCACTGAGACTAAGTACCTGCTACAAAGGTAATATACACATCTTTTCTTTTCTTGGGATTCTCCAAAAAAGAAAAATTTTATTTGTGTTTTATCACACACAAAAGTCTTACATTTGGAAAAGTGAGTCGCTGAACTGTACAGATAAAATATATTACAACAGATAGCATTTCAGAAAAAAAGGCTTTGTATAACCAAGCTATCTGCATGTCTCAACAGAAAGCATGTGGTATTTTGTTGATGAAGTTATAATAAATATTTACTCCCTCTTTGATAGAACCAGTTGTATGTTGAATATACCATATGTTGTAGTAAAATATTGACCAAAGACATCAGTGACCTTATCAAGGTAGTTGAAAATAGAACTATGCTTAAGAGTTAGGTAACCTTATCAGTCTTTATATCAGTTAATAAATTATTCTTTATTTCTTCATTTTCTTTCCCCCCAAAATGAACAAAATCTCCCTTGCCTGCAGAATCAAATGTATATGTGTAAAAAATAGAAATTTTGAGAATGAAAGGATTTATTGCCTTACTATTAGATAACAACTTTCATTTAATTAAGCCTTTACTATGTGTTAAGACACTGTTCTTCATATTTTACATGTATTGAGATATTTAATCCTTATAAAAACCCTTGAGATACTCTTATTTCATTTAATAGATATGAGGGACTGGGGATTTAGCTCAGCGGCACAGTGCCTGCCCAGCAAGCACAAGGTCGTGAGTTTGATTCCTGGTCCCAGAAGAAAAACAAAAACAAAAAACAAAACAAAACATTTAATAGATATGAAATAAGAGGCATGGGGAAACAGTAATTTACCCAAGATCACTTAAGTAGTTATTTTTTCTAGCTTCAAGCAAAATTATATATTTGCTTTATTTTATTTCTTTGCTGACTAGAGCCTTGTATTAGTTGTTGATGGAGACCTCTTAGAAGTGGTCCTGAGCAGGACTTAAATTAACCAATCAGCTTTTTGTGTTTACTTGTGAGTCTGTCTAAGACCTAGACTTCTTGTCTGGAGATGGGTGATGGACTTATAGTAAGTGAACCTCTGTGAGTCACTAATCCCTGCTAAGGCCTGTAATGGCAGATGAAGCTGGAAAGCCTCAAAGGATAAGACAAGATCACAGCTAAGGATCCAGCCTCAACTAGATAAAGACTGTAGCCTTAGGCATCTCACTCCTGGGAGGATTAATTTAATACCTTACTTGGAGAACCCTTCTTGAGTACTCCCCTTCCTTCTTCTGATAACTAAATAAATACAGGCCACTCAGAGAAGATCTTGGTCCTAGCTCCAAGAGAATCTTGAATTCTGTGAGAGCGCTTTGATCTTCCTGGAGCCCTGAAATCATTCCATTTCCTTCTTTCTTATTTAGCCTTTAGTATACACTCATTAGGGAGATTGCGGATCTGATCAGCCCACAATAACAAAGGGATATTATTAACCCAATAAGTAGTAATACATTTTTTTACTAAGCATTGTCAAGAAATACATTCTAGTTTAGTAAACATACTTAATATAGGAATATATTGTATATAGTATCTTTTTAATACCTATTTAATACCTAATCTATTTTAATACCTATTTAATACCCTAATCTATTTTAATACCTATTTAATACCTAAACATTTAGAATAGCCATTTAATCATTCTTGGTGATTTGAAAGGCATTTTAGTAACTTAATTTGCATCAGTGATTACTGACACATTTTAATTATCCTGTGTATTATAGAAATAAAGGGAGAGAGAATACCAGTAATAGGACTCTGGCTGATATTATGCCAGGTATACATTTTTCAGTTCTGAAGTTACAACTGAAGGTAAATGTCCAGAAGAGTTCATTACAAAGGACTTTAAACTTAATCCTTCTTTCTTTCTTTGACTGATATCTCTATAGCAGAATTTATTTAGGTTATTCAAGATACTTAAAGTTATCAATACTGCTGACAGCTTGGGTCTTAAAGAGAATGTGGTATAGAAAAGCCCATGTAGCAGTTTTCCCAATTGCACACTATAAGATCATTTTATTTACTTATTTATATTTAATACATATAATATACCATCCTACCATGTTCTAGAAATAGTACTTACTTTATACCTTTACTACTTTGTGTTGTTTTGGGATAAAAATGCAGTATTCTAAGGTTACAGCACTTTTGTATTTGCTCAGAAAACTAATGATTTGCCCCCAAACTATATGTTAATGTATTTTTATTTAACAATAACTTTTCTTAATTAAAATGGCTAATAATAGCCTGCTTAACTACATTTAAAGGGTAAGCATATACTGAGTATTATGTGTTCATAATGACTTACCTTTTAAAAAATGTTTCAGTTTAAGATTATAGTCAAATAAAAAATTATCTATACTGTTCAGCTTACTATAATGATTCTAGTGCCCCTCTTGCCTTTTTTTAATTAAAGAAAGTGCTTAGATGTGTATTTACATCAGGTCTTACACACAAGTGCATAAGAATTCTCAGGACAGAGGACTGTGCAAAAGACTTCAATCTCAAAATCTTTTCTAAAGAAAAAGAAACATCTTATGACTGTTGTTGTGTTTATTTATTTCTAAACCAAACTTCTTAAAATTGAAAATAATACTGATTAGATAAGAAAACCATATTTTATTGTTAGTCATTGTACCCTTTATTATTCTATTTCAGAACTCAGAAGTCTACTAAATAAACAAGGAATTGGAAGAGAATTTAATCGAGAACTTGGCCAGCTTATTGACCTTTTAAGCCCTAAGATCTATCAGGAAGTAGAAGAACAGGTATTAAATTTTAAAAATAATGTGTTCACTTTGGCAGCACATGTACTAAATTTTAACAATAATAATTTATGTTATACTTGCTAATTGATTGTATTGAACCTCAATTTTCATTAAATATTCCTCTAATACTCCCCTAGAAAAACAGAAATATCTATAAAATTTTCCATTTCTCTTCCATGCAGCCTACCCATAATTCAGTCTTTCTTTTACAACTATTTATAGATTCTACTACATGAAGTTTTAGAATTTTTCATGAAATCCACATTTCTGATATTTCTCTTCTTTTGTCTATAAGATATTTAGCTGGGATGGTGGCACATGCCTGTAATCTCAGCATTCAGGAAGCTGAGGTAAGAGGATCACTGTGAGTTCCAAGCCAGCCTGAACTACGTAGTGAGACCCTGTGTCACACACAAAAAAAGATACTTTAAAAAAATGTCTAATTATGGAAAAATATATTTATGGTCACTTATACCTTGTCTTATTCTTTGAGGTTTAACAACGGTGCTGTTTGCCTCTATGTAAGAAACTATATTAATAATTATTAGAAGTTTGAGTCACCAAGCTACTATTTTACCACACTTAAATATGGAAAACTTATTTAAATCTAAAACAATAAAAGATACTTATCTAAAATCCCAAACCAAAAAGGTAATACATTTAAAAATGTAAGTAGAAACCATAAAAAGAAATCTAAGTAGGTAGCCCAGGTATGGTAGTCTATGCCTGTAGTCCTAGCACTTGGGAGGTGGAGGCAGGAGAATCACTGCCAGTTTCAGGACAGTCTGTGCTACATAGTGAACACAAGACTAGCCTGAACTATATGACAAGACCTTGTCTCAAAGAAAGAAAGAAAGGAATCTAGTTTGGAGAATGATGAGGGCAACCTGAAAGAAGAGAGCAGAGGAAAAGAATACCCTTCTGTGTGTGACCCTTTACAGCTCCCAGACTAATCTCTAAACTGTACAAGTGTTGGACAGACACAAAACAGCGTACCAAAAACATAGAGAACTAAACAACCACCCACACAAGATCATCAAAGTTTAGGTTCTGAAGCTAGCCAGATAATAGCCTATTAAGTAAAAACATTAAAAACTCAAAATAAACTATGACAGATTAGACAGAACTATTCAATCTTGGAAAAGAAAGTAAAATTAGAATTTGGAGCTAATGAGATATTTTGAATATGTTCTAGATGTTGTCTAACTGAAGATAACGAACCTCTCTTGCGTGGTGAGCTATACTACTCTTAGGCCTTCCCTGTCCTGAACCTAGGAACTTAATGTTGCTTCCCTACCCATCTTGTTACAGGTGGGGTTTGATTGATACTTGCCTGACATTATAAGGGGTGAACTATATTTGAAAAGCTTTTCTAAAGATTCCTCTAAATTATTTTTGTTGAATTGTTTCAGAAACTACATCAAGCAGCTTGCTTGATTCAAGCTTATTGGAAGGGCTTCCAGACTAGAAAGAGACTAAAGAAGCTTCCATCTGCTGTAATTGCTTTGCAGAGGAGTTTCAGGTAAAAATATTTTGTGCTAGGAATGGTGATCTGACAGTCTTACTAAAGTACAGTTGAAAAACTTGAGTTTTTGTTGCTTTCTTTTCCATTTTGCTTTTCAACTTCCTAATTTTACCTTTTTTCTTGCATTTATTCTGTTCCATATGTTACAGAGTACCAACACTCCAGTCAGTAACTAGGGGATAATATAAGGCAGGAATCTGATGTGTCCAGTATACCATCCTGTTTACTTTTTAAGATTTGTTTGTGGGCCAAGTCTATAGACAAAGCCAATGATTTTTATATTATTAAACATTCAAAGTCAACAATTTGTGTAAGTGTCATATATAATTATTATAAAAATGTATGAATGGATAAAAGTTAAATATGTTAATCTAATTTTCCTGTGTACATATACCATGGATTGATGTGGACCTAGAGATATGATAGTTTGTCATTTGTTTCAAGTGGACTGAAAATGAAATACTGAAGTTATGGCCCGCTTTTTAAGAAATTAATATTGTCCTTTTTTTAAAATTCAGTCAGTATTTTTGAAGAATGTCCAAAATTCAACATTATTAAAATAGTAAAATATAATGTGGAAAGAAGCTCTTAAATGTTAAGTCCTCTAAGCTCTATCTGGTGGAACCCTGTGGGATAGCGGCTATTAGACTTATCATTGCGGTTTAAAAGGAGAACCTTGAGCAGAAGGGAGTCCCAGATGCCAACCAGCTGTGTAGGCACTGGGGACAGCGCTTAGGTCTCCCTTTGAAATAGCTAGGAGATTCATAATGACTTACGTAAGGCAATCCCTCCTCTCACCCCAGGCTTAAAAGAGACCTGGCTGCCAAGACACTCAAAAGAAACTCCCATGGTTACCACTGGCACATTTTCTGATATGAGTAACTCATCCAGATTCTTAGAGGTTTCAGAAACAATGAATGAAAAAAAGAAAGGTTGGTTTAGCTCCTGGGTCATTTAAGATAAAGTAGAGCCATCTCAGAGGTGGCATTTTCGTGTAGTCAAGTTGTGGTTCACTAAAACGAAACTGGTATATTACAGAAATAAACTTTTTTTAAAAAAAGAAAACCGAAACTACTCTTATAGTACCTGCAGCTGCATTTTTCAGTTGTAAAAACATTTTTAAAATAGCTTTGGAGTTCAAAATACTGTTTTGTCACAGATGTGAAGACACTGAAGTCATTCAGGATATGTCCCTTAGTGGATGTCCTATTTGTTGATGAAAATTTTCTTCAGGGAAGACTGAAAGATGCTTATAAATATTACTTGGCATGGATTTTATTGGTGTAATTTTTTAAACATGCACCAAATGGTTAGAGCATCCCAAAAGATGAGTGAGGAGAGGGAAGGTGCAGTGTGGGGAGAGGGTAAGACACTGCATTTTTGTCCTGCTTCAGTTTAGTGGCTGAGTGACCTTGGACAAATTGCTCCGCCTTGCTCAGCCTCAGGTTTTTTAATCTATAAAATGGAGACAGTAGGTTACACACCTTACAAGATTGAGATAATATGAGATGATAAGAGTTTTTTGGAATATCACCTAGAACTTAGAAAATCTTAAGAAGAAATGCATATGGTACATTTTCTGCCTTAAATATACACAGATCTACACAAAGAGGCATTAAGTTAAATTTTACCCACGAGAGGCAAATACTGTACATCTGGCATTGCTTGAAATTTATCACCTGTCTTAACAAGATGTTTCTTAAAAATGTTTAAAAGTATTTCTGTGGTCAAATGAAGAAATACTGAACAATTTGAGAACCACAGTGTATATTCTTTTATTAAAAAGAGTCTGAGATGCTTTGGGTATTGACTTCTCATAATTCTACTTATGGTCATCCTCAGCTGTCTGTCCTCGTACTTGAAAGGTGCCCCTACATCATGGACTGAGATCTTTAATGTTTTGGCCCTACAGTAGTTGCCAAATTTGTTTACTTTCTCGTTCAGTTTAAAAGTATCCCAGAGCCAGGCATGGTGGCACACTAGCAATTGGGAGGCTGAGGCAAGAGGATCACTGTAAGTTTGAGGCCAGCCTAGGCTACATAGTGAGTTCAGAGCCTGCCTGAACTACATAGGGAGATTGTGTATTCAAAACAATAATAACAACAATAATAATAAAACTGTTCTAAGTGTTTGGCAATAAAGAGGTATAGGCGTTGAGAGGATGCATTTTTAGCTTGAGGCCTGTTTTGGCTTGTGTCTAGATTCTCCCCCAAAGCCTCATGCAGTCATAGGTGGGGCTTTTCAGAGGTGGCTGGATCTAGACTGTGACACTGGGATTGATTCATGGTGTAATTTTAGGGTTAAGAGTGTTTGATTACTAAATCTGTCAGCTGATTAGTTTGGCACCTGCCCTAATCCCTGGTACCCTAGATAGAATATAAAAGGGGCAGAAATAATCTGCTAAGGTCTCTCGGACTTGCTGCTTACTCTCTCCTGCCTGCTTGCCATGGACTGTTTCTCCTCTGCAGTGTCCCTCTGCTATACCACCCTGCCTTGGAGCTAGGAACTGTGAGCTAAATAAACCTTTCCTCCTTTAACTTTGGGTGTGGGGTACTTTGTCTTAGCAATGAGAGACAAGTAAACAGGACAGCGCCCTTTGTTAAATCCTCAGCACACACATTCTCTCTCTGTTGATCTCTCTCTCTCTGTCTCTCCCTCTGTCTCTTTCTCAGAGAAAGAGAGAACCAGTATCCCAGGATTACAGCTTTTATCCACTTAGAAGTATATCTGTGGAATTCCAATTAATATTTTACTATTTTAAAACAGAAATTCCATTCCAGACTGGTTATTACTATTTGCATTTTAAAAGATAAGCTATAAATCCCTGGTGATTTATTTCACATTATATGTTCTTTTCCTGTCCGGTATTTTTGAGTTTGGGGTTCTGGAGTACACTGAAGTACATACAGTTTCAACTGTTCGGCTGTATTTAATTTTTAATTGCAAATTTTCTCTTATACTTTACTACCTTTAGTCTTGTATTGCTAAAATTTTAATGCAAATCTCTCTTACTTCCTTTATAGTTGGGCTTTCTGCCTCTTTGTGGTCTGACAGGTCATTCATTAGCTGAGTTACTTCCCCTTGCTTGCTTAGGGGAGAGGGACTACCTGCTGCTCATATTGATCAGGCCAGATTGATCAATGTTCTTTAGATTCAGCGAGTCACTCATTTATAGTCAAACCCTTGTTAATGTACTTTCTAGGAGGTTCTTTTTTCTTTAGTGATTTCTCACAGTTAGAAACTTTATTTTCTATTAAGCATTCTTTGCTTGAGCAAATGTTTCTGAAACAGCTAAAGTAACTATTTATCTTGAAAACAATCTCATAATTTACCTACCTTTATCATGATGCTGATATTTAGATATTTTAGTTATATTTGTTTGATTTCTTCTGGAAACTAAACTCTCAGAACACAGTATTTTTCTGCCTGTAATATATACAGCAAAGTCACTATGTGGGTACAACATGGGTCAAACTGTAATCAATACGATTGATTAGGAGTACAAGTAGTATAGCTGCTTAGGGAAATTAGTCATGTAGCAAAGGTACAAAGAAAAAACAGAGGTGTTTCGGGGAAGGCATACATCCTCTGGTCACCCAACTGGGTGTCTGATTCCTATCTGGACTTCCTGGGTGACATGTTAATTACAGTACAAATCCAAGTTACTGCTTATCCCTTAGGAGGCATGTCGGCATGACCATTGCATCTCTGTCTTGAGGCCTGACCTTCAGATGCGGCTCCAACACAGTTCTGATGTCTTTATTTTTCCACTGACTTTCTTGAGAGCCCAGTTGCTCTCTGACATGTAATAATTTTTATCTAACTTAGCTTCCTATAATACTTCCTTTTTAGAACTGTGATAGACATGCCATATGGTCAGATAGCTACTAGTTCTCATAGAGAAATCAGATGGAAAATAATATTCTAATTTTTGAGTGATTGTAGAAGCTCTTAGCAGAATAACTATAATGTAATTAAATGGAAGCAATAACACTTAAAATCACCTCAATTCCTAATGTTTTCAAGCATGAAACTAAAGTATATGAATCTAGGAAGTGCAAAGCTTACAGATATTTTAATCATAGAACCACTCTTTTATTTTCTTGGTTTGTATCTCACTTCCATTTTTATGCTGCATGTGTTTTCTTTCTTTCTTTCTTTTTTTTGCTACAGTTTATAGTCTGTGTACCTAAATTATTTCCCAAACTCAGTTTTCTGTCTGATTAAATGTCCTAGCATAGCTGCTTTAATGAGTACATTTCTTATGCTAATAGTATATGTAAAATATTGAAAACACAATGTAAACATTATAATCTATAACCTATTAAAAGTTAGAAATGGGGGCTAAGGATTTAGTTCAGCAGCACAGCGCCTGCCTGGCAAGCATGAGATCATGAGTTCAATTCCCAGAACCAAAAATAAATTGGAAATGGTATTTTTAATTTTGTTTTTAATTTTAATTTTTTTGAGACAGGATCTTGCTATGTAGTTCAGGCTGGCCTTGAACTCACTATATAGCCCAGGCTGGCCTCAAACTTGTGTCTATCCTCTTGCCTCAGCCTGCCAAGTCCGGGATTACAGGCATGCTCCACCTCGGGCTGCAAAATGGGTGTTGTTTTTTTTTTTAAATTTTATTTTTAAAGTTATAATGGTTACTAAAATTATTATACTTCAAAACAAAACCCTCTCTAACTACAACATTATGAGACCCAGCCGAGCTACCACAGTTGTTGGCAGTTTTATTCCAGGAAAAGGACCCAAGGAAAAACATGCTCTTAAAGGAAATACGTACAAATTAATTATTTGAGGGCTGAGAGTGCAGCTCAGTGGTAAAAGCACATGTCTAGGAGGTACAAGCCCTGGTTTTGATCCTCAGCACCACCAAAAAAGAAGGAAAGAAAAAAATCAATTCTATAAAGGTAAAATAAATAATATCATCTGCTTCTCTTGTCTTCCTGGTTTTCCTCTTCTATGGGAGTCTGAAACTGTTTTGATATATCTACTGTAGACTAGTATTTGTGGTCTTATAATAGTGGTGTGGGAAACAACAAAAACTGAGTTGTAATGGGTTAAAAAACTTAGTAAAAGCAGAGAATATAAAAATGATAATTAAGTAAAATGTTCTTATATGAAAACATTTCTAGCTAGTTATAAAATAATGTTTATTATTAGTCACTATTGAGAAATAGATAAACCTAAAAAGAAAAATGAGCCATAATCACACCATGCAATAATTATTGAAATTTTAATTTTTAATCTTTTATTTTTCTATGTAAGAAAATACAAATTTTTAACACAATTTGAATCTCATTCTTGACTTTTTCACCTGACAGTCCAGTACGTGTCACTAAATGTTCTTTGAAAATGTATTTAGTCACGGTTCATAGAATTGCATCAGATAATGAATCAGTACTTATCTAACTCCTTATCATGGCACAAGTAGTTCGTTTTCAACTTATTACAACTTGTTGTAAAACTATGTTAGGAGCATCCTTGAATATAAGTCTTTGTGTACATATTTCATTATTTCCTTAAAATTTAAACTATTTTTCCATATTTTTGATGGATGTATCCAAATATTTCTCTAGAAAACTTGTACAGCTGAAGTATATGACAGTGTAATTCATTATACCCTGACAACACCAGGAATTATCTTTAGAAAACTTTTTCTGTCTGCATTTATTTGATTACTTGTAACAATAAGCATGTCCTGTATTTCTTGAATGGACATATGATTTATGACATTGTATGTAACTGCTTAAACTTACTGTTTCCATCACAGATCTAAGCGAACAAAGACATTGCTAAAGCTAAATAGGCAGAAGGAAGAAAAGGATCTCAGATTACAATTGCAACTTGAAAGACAGAGAGCCATGAGACTTTCTCGAGAATTACGGCTGAGTATGCTTGAAATAGTTCATCCAGGTGAGTGCAGCATCAGCCTTACAAGTATAGCAATGTAAATAAATAAACCAAATTTTCTAACTACTTGATGATTTTTTTTTTATATTTAGACTTTTGCCTTGCTTCTCTCTTTCTCTCACTTTCTCTCTGTCTCTCTACATTAACCTTATTAAACCTCTTGAGTCAAAAAATGTTACAATTCTTTTCAATTCAGACATATTAGTTGATGATGAGCAATTTCCCCATCAGATTTTCTTTTCTTCTTTTAAGGGTAAATTAATGAAACAAAAATTTATACTTAAAAATAAGTGTCAGAGATAAACTCCTAGAATTCAATTAAGGAGTCAGAACGTTGCTACATTCTGCCTTCAGAATTTTACTCATTCTCTAGTATAAACCTGGCAACATCGCCTTGCCTCCTGTGAAGACTAAGTTAAAATTAATAATAAAGTGTGATCTGTGAGGGCTAATTGGTTGCATGATTTTTTTCTTACTATTTTACTTCTTTTCTTATGACTCATTCCCAGAAACCTTCACTAGTGCCTTGTTTCCCTTCCTTTCCTTTAAATCTAATTACATTCCAGAGTTCCAGCCATACCCAGTTATTCTCATATTTTGCCTGGTATATCCCATCCATAGCTATAGATTCAACTATCAGCTGACTACTTAGCATTCTTACATCTCATCCTCTCATCTAAACTCTATCCAACAGGACCACTGACTAGAATTTTTTACATGAACAAAATGTTTGTACCATCTAATGTAGTAGCCAATGGCTAGAGGTGACTATTCAGTATTTCAGATTTCCCTAATGCCCTCAAATACCCAAATTTTTACTTTCGTTTTATGTAAATCTAAGTAACCACTGGCATTATTGTACACTCTATTAGACAGCACAGCTCTCTAGCCAACTGCCTGTTGGATAGTTTTATTTAAATATCCAAAGGCATCTTAAAATAAGTCATCTGGGTCCAAGATTTTTTATGTCTCATTTCAGGCAATGGTGCCAACCATCTACTCAGTTTCCCATCCTAAAATTCTTTCCCTTTCACCTCTACTATCAGTTTTTTGTACTCTCAAATATACCCATTTTAAGTTCCACTGGTACTACCATTCCATGCCTCTTAGCAACTGTGAGCCTGGAGCTATATATGAGCCAACTCTCAGAAAGTAAAAAGAAAGTCATATGTGAAACCAACTAAAGAAAAATTTAGAAGCACACAGAGTGGAATAAATGACATATTCATACTTTGCCCTTTCCTTGTAGTGGTACCAGATTATTTCTTATCCATATACTAATGATTTTTTTCCCCAAAAATGTTCTTACTATTAAATTTTCAGTCCTTTTTTTTTACTACCCTACTACAAAAATATTTTTATGAGTCTTTTCTCTAAAGAAGTTTGCATAATCAGGGAAAGCTTTAGTTTTTTTTAAAATCTTAGAACTATAAACTAATAAGATTGAGGAAATCAGTGGCAGTATTAAAAAAAGAATTGCAAGATTGTTATTATTACCACTGTCCTGATTCTAAAACTTGAGAAAACATAGCAGTGAGTATGTTGTAATAGTGTCTGTCATCTTTTTAGGTCAAGTGCAGAAACACAATCAGGAGTTGGAAGAGAAATCAGCACTGATTATCCAAAAGCATTGGAGAGGGTACAGGGAAAGGAAAAAGTTCCAGCAACAAAGGCCATCTCTCACGGAGCATAAAGCAGCAGTCATACTTCAAAGAGCAGTGAGTCTGATATAGCAAAAACAGCTAAGGAGCGAAAGTATGTTCAGATCTGACTTTGTTATTTACCTGTTGAAAGACTTGGTCAAGTGACTTAGATTTCCTAAGCCTTCGTTTCTTCCTTTATAAAATAAAGCTGATTTAGACACCCAGTTCTTAGGACTGCTACAGAACCTTCACCTCATCATTTACCATATTGCAATATTTTATTGCTAATTTTCTTCCTCTGTTGTTGGGGCTGCTAGTTCCTCAATGATAAGAAGCTATGTATTATTTATTTATTTATTTATCTATTTATTTATTTTGGGCAAGGGTACTGGGAATTGAACTCGGGACCTCTTGCTTGCTAGGCATGACTGTGTATTATTGAATGTCAGCATTAGCTCTCAGTGTGTGCTTGATGTATGAGTGGAGGTCTGCCCTACCTTTTTACTCAGTTTTGTGGATCAGATGTCCTAATGTGTGCAAATGGTTTTTGTATACTCCAATATCCTAAAATTCTTTCCCTTAAGTGCAGCATATATATTTAACTTTTTTAATATATAAATTAAGTATTTGATATAATTGGATAGTTGTATAATAACTGTTGAAATGTAGAATGCTGTTCTTAAATGAGAAAAATAGCAGAGTAATATTTTATTGATTTGGTGAAGCATAGTATAGGCTGGTTTTTTTTTTTCAGTTAATGACCAGTTCTCCCAATACCCAGTTATTCTGTCATACATGGCTATAAGACAGTATAATATAACATGTTTCAGATCTTTAAGCATTTAGCTCAATAATCTGTTATTGTTGAACTTTTGGTCAATTTTCAGTTTTTTACCATAATAGATTTTAAATATTTTGTGTGGATTAACAGTTTACAAGATACTATAAAATCATCTAACAACACAGTAGAATAAATACTAGAGAAATCAGAAGAGATATCTGTCTCTTTCTCCTTCAGGCTCGTCTGGGGATCTTAGTTTATAAGTGCAATGAACAGTCCCGCACCATCACTGAATCATACATACTCATGATATTTACCCTCTGCTAAACAAGGGTATCTAAGGCCCATTGATATCAAGGGTGGAGACCTTTCCTTTCTCTAGAGGAAACTCTGCCTCCTTTCTAATACTTTTACTTCACAGATACCTTTTTGTTTTGTTTTTTGAGACAGGATCTTGCTACGTAGTTGAGGCTAGCCGTGAACTCACCTATGTAGCCCAGGCTTGCCCTGAACTCACAGCAGTCATCCTGCCTCAGCTCCCAAGTGCTGAGATTACAGGCGTGCACCACAACACCCAGCTAGCTACCTCCTTTTTAAAAGACTTTCCTGTCGGAGAATTAGCTGGGCCCTTATTAAGTTGATTGACTACCTTGTGTGATTTAGATGAGCCCAGTTGGAAAAGGGACTAAAAAGGGACTTGGAAAAGGGACTAAAAAGTTTGTCTACCATTCCCTAGAGGAATGGTGATCATCGTAAAAGAGTATTTCAGGGGCTATAAGGGCAAAATTATTTTGACTTTCATACTTTCCATTGGTACCTGAGGAAAAGATTAGTCACATTTATCTGATGTCTACTCAAACAAACAAAAAGGGAATATTAGTCTGTGAAGTAAGAACAAAAAGATACAGGTCATGTTTATAATCTTTGCCTATCACTAGTAGAACTAACCGTTAAGTCAAAGCAAAGCTAGCGAAATGGAAAAGGAAATATAAGACGATTATTTTGAAAGAAGGAAAAAAGAAAAAAAATGTAAGCATGTAGACAGAAGAAAAAGAAAATTAGTAGAGAAAATTGGAACATGGCAATGGTCAGTAAAGGACACATTTTGCCATATTTTTAAAGCATCATTTTCTAAGCACACTTTGCACCTGCATTGTCTTATGCAGTAGTCATTAAGCACAGGAGGATATGGAGTACTTGACATGTTAATTAGTCCAAATTGAAAAATGCTCTAAATGTAAAATACCCACCAGATTTTAGAAACTTCAGATGAAAAAAGTATAAAAATCTCAATAACACTTTTTTTAGATTAACTACATGTTGAAATACTAATGTTTTGTGTATACTCAGCTATAACTTTTTACATGGCTCAGTACATACAAAATACTATTTTAACCTTTTTTTAACTTTTAAATGTCACTAGAAGAATTTAAATTATATATGTGACTTGCATTATTTATATTTATACTATGATTGTCTTTAGTAAGAAACAAAGGGAAATAATTGATCAGTTTTACTGAAAATAAAAGAAAGGAATAATCTTTTCAATGAACTTGCCTCGTAGCAAGAACTGATTCTTAGTGTCCTTGAAAGGAAATGAAAGGCTAGAACTATTTTCTGCCTTCTTTCCCTCCATTACTTTGTGCAAAGGCCCAGGCATTGATTTTCTAGTAGTTAAAATCTGAAAAACCTTGTGAAAATTTGCCAGTTTCAAATTACACATCCTTCCGTAGACAAGTTAGAATTCTTGGTCGTGATACAATATTGGAATTAAATTTGAAGCATTAGCTCTCTTTTTCAACTCTTTAAGATTTTTCTGTCACTTTCTCACCTTTTGAAAAGAAAGGAAACTCAGGAAGAAGATAATATTTGCTGGTCTATGGAGCTAAAATGATGATCAATTCTTGCTACTTGACTATAGCAGAAAAGTATCAACATCGTTGTACATAACAATCACTGACCAACCATAAAAGGACTTAGTGAAACAAACATTGGCAGTTAAAAAAATAAATACTTAGAGATACATAATGTCAGAGAGTACTGAAATAACAAAAAGTAAAGAAAAGAGGTAAAAGAACAGTGCTTATTTCCCACTTCACAAAGAATGGCCATTATAAAGAAATCAACTAATAACAAATGCTGGCAGTGCTGTGCTGAACAAGGAAACTTTCTCCACTCTTGGTTGCCTCCTGGATTTCCTTTGGCAAGTTGGAAGTCTGGGTTGGCATCTTGCTTAAGTGTCTTCTCATTTTCTTTTTCTTTTTCTTTTTCTTTTTCTTTTTTTAGTTTAATTCATGGGTTGAAGCTTATAAATTGTTTATGCCAGGTAGCTTTATTGCTAGTATTTATAACTCTTAGAAAATGACTCCTTTTCAGAGATGTCTTCTAGGTGTAGCTGCCTTTTGGATTTTGAGTCTGATGCAAGAGCCTGTCTGTTCAATTTATTAAGGATGAAAAGTTGCTGCCTATTTGGCCTAGTCCTGGTTCTTTGGTACTGGTCTATAGTGTTATTTATGACCCTTAGTCAATTTCAATCTTGGCATACCAGGAACAACAATTATATCACCTTGGCTGAAGCAGTACAATCAGCAATAACAATAACATCAAACAGCCTAGAAAATAAAACCATGGTAACTATTAATTTGCTACCTTTAACCATATGAACTATATTTGTGGTAATATAACAAAATCTAAAACAAACCAGGAAAGTATATACAGTAAATATGCCCTCAATATGATGAGGAGAAAATATGCCCTCAGAGGAGAAAATTTAAAAGGGATTGGGGAAAAAACAGAGAACTAGAAGGGGAAGAGATTAGAAGCAAGGCTGGAGGACAAAGGAAGGTTATGCAAGTTTTGGGAAACTGGTGAAGAAGACAAGGTATAGAGAAGGAAGAAATAATAGGACAGAACAGAACAACAACAAAAAAAACTAGAAACAATGTTCACACTCATACAAAAATAAGAACAATCAAGGAAAAAGAAAACAAAAACAAAGACAAAAGAAAAAGAAACAAATGTCTACTTCAGGGCATATCTCTGCTGCCACTGGTAGACAGAGGGGCAAGAATCCAGATCCATGTTGATTAATTCCAGCAAGCCAGCTGTAGATTTACAGTGGGGTAGTGGGTAATCCCAGCAAACCTGCATCTTTAGTTCCACTGAATTTCGGGCTGGATTCAGGCTGTGAGGCTGGAACCTGATTTATTCAGCCTGCAGCACAGTATACCTCCTGCCAGCTTGAACCCAGCTCCTTGACCTTCTGCTGACTTGAACTGACTTCTGCCCCATCCTCACACTGGGAGCCGCTAGATGGAGCCAGCCTGCAAATGCTCTGTGTTCCAACCTCAGTTGGCCCCTCTCCAAGTTGGCTACTGGCCCATAGTCCTCTCCTGGGGATCGTCTGAATAACTCAATAGCTGGTGCATCTCTCTGCGGAGGCCTCTGGGGTCACCAGTAGTTGCCATACGTGTATAGGTTTGAGCTGCCCTCCCATGCAGTGAGTCAGGGCTCAGGGAGAAAGTTCCACTTGCCATCTTCCTTTTTTGTGTTGAAATCTCTCTCTTTGCTCTCCCCGTGGGCTTCAACTTGCTTCAGATCCTTGCTGGGTCCCAGGGACCCACTTCCCTCCCTCCCTTTTCTCTTGCTGGGTCCAGGGACCCACTTCCCTCTCTCTTCTCTTCCACACATTACTATAATCCAGCATCTGGACCCCAAATCTCAGAGAGGTTGTTTCTCTGCTTTCACCACTCTGCCATCTTGCCGGAAGTCCACGTACACGTATTAATTCTTTTTACGTCCCTTTCCCTTCCCTCCCATCACCCTTCCTCCTTCTCTTAGTCCCATTCCCATTTGCAAAGGATCTATCTTCTTATTTTCTATAATCTTTTATTTTACTCTTTATCAAAGGCATTTTTAGACATTAAAAATCTCTTAGGAATGACTCAAGAAAGAAGACAGCATGGAATCCAAGAAATGAAGAGAAAGATGCAAAGAAGTTACCAAAATGATGTTGAATGGACCATAGGAAGACAGTTATGTTACAAGTGTACAGAGAAGTCCGATAAAAAAACCCAGAAAATGGGTATCCAAGAAAATTAGTGTGGTAGAATGCCTGATACGTTTTAATGTCTTAATAATTAAAGCATAGTCTAAGAAGTAGAGTCAGTAATGAGTATACAGAAAACTAAAAAGTAAGCCAGTGGTACACGCCTATAATCTCAGGATTTGGGAGACTGAGAGTGGAGGATTGCCATGAGTTTGAGGCCAACCTGGGCTACATAGCAAGACTCTGTCTCAAAAAAACTAAACTAAACCAAAGTATTAATTCCAGAGAAAATAAATGTGTAGGGAAGGAAAAGTAATCATAATGTATGATTGGAAAGTCTTCATACAGTAATAATTATGTAAACATTGAGTCAGCTAAAATGATATTGGATGGTTAGAATATGAAAAGCACAAGCAGTGAAAGAGCTAAATCCTGTTTTTCCATTCAAGAAAATCAGTAGATAATGCATATATTTGAAAAACATATACTTGAAAAGCTAAGTATCAAAAGAAAAACCTGAAAAAGTTAAAGTTGTCCTCTTTGGGGTTAGGAACAGTGTTAACTAGACAACTATAGTTATAATAGACAAATATAGTTATTTAGGTTCTAACTATTGTAAAACAGACATTTTAAACAATAAAGTTATACCAGCAAACTTTTGTGGGAAGGGCCAGGTATAATATTTGAGGCTTTGTGGGCCATGCAGTCTGTCGGAGTTCCTCAACACTTGCAGCTCAAAAGCAGCCATAGATGATAACAAACAGTTGAGCATAACCATGTTCCAATAAAACATTATTTCTGGACATGGAATTTGGGCTTTGTGGGGGGTTGTTTGCTTGTTTTTGAGACAGGTGTCACTGTGTAGTTCAGAGTGGCCTTGAGTTCACTATGTAGCCCAGGCTGGCCTCAACCTTGCAGTGATCCTCCTGCCTCAGCCTCCTGAGTGCTGGGATTACAAATGTGCACCACCACACCTTGCTGCAGACATTGAATTTGAATTTCATATAGATTCACATCACAAAATATTCTTTATTTTTTAACATATTAAAAAACCCTCATTTTTTGCTCTCTGTAGAAAAACTGACAGTAGGCTAGATTTGGACTATGGGCAATGATTTACCAACCACTGCTTTTTTAAGCACTTCTTTAGACAGTATGAATATGTGGCTTTGATGACAATAAAAACTACAAAGAAAGGAAAGGAGTGAAAAAATGGGAAGAGTAATTTCAAATACGTCCCAAATCAAGCCTGTTACGAGATTTTTTTTTTTATTACTAGAAGTCCATTTTAAAAGACATAAGAAAGAACATTCAGAAATTATCCACTGCCTCATACCTTATTTTATAATATTTTCTCATTAACCAAGGCCTTGTTAGATACTTTATGATGTTTATAATAGTTAATACTCTATGATATTTACCCTATGATGTTTACTCTGTGATGTTGGTCATGTAAAATTAGGGTCCCAGTTTTCTAAAAACATAGAATTAATTCTGTGGAGATCAAGTAGCTTGCCCAGAATCATACAGTTTATAAGAAAGAATTGAAATTAGAACCCAGTGCTTAATTCCTTGTTAGTCTTTATTGCTTACTGCATTAAAAAAAACATGAACGAATCCTTGTGATCAGATTTCCATTGCTCTGACAGCAATACCTAAAATATCAACTTAGAAGGAAGGATTTATTTTTGCTCAAATTTCTGAGGTTCCAGTCCAGGCAGGGCTTGTGGCAAATCAGAGCATCAGTGGCAAAGCTCCTCACCTCCAAGCACACAGAAAGCAGGGAAAAAGAAGGGGGAAGGGCATACTTGTAACAGTGACCTAACTTCCTTCCACTAAGTCCCATGTCTTAAAGGTTCTACCACGTCCCAGTAGCGCCATCAGCTGAGAACAAAACCTTTAATACATGACCCTTTGAGGAACATCTAAGATTTACACCATACCAATCCTTATAAAAAAAAAAAAATGGAAGCACTAGAGAGGAATATCCAGATGATCCCTGTGTTACATGGTGCTAGTGATAAGCATTCAGTAGACAGCATAGTATGGTGGTAAGATGTATAGAAGAGGTAAGTTAGATACAGTAAATGTATTTTCAACTTACAATGGGTTTATTAGGAGATAACCACTTCATAAATTGAGGACATCTGTATAGTTAAAGTCAGTGCCTGTTCTTACTCTATTACAATCCCATCCATCCACTCCTCATCCTCACTCAGAGTTGACCACTGTTGCGCAGTGTCACTGCTATATGTTGTAGACAAATAGTAGCTGTATTGGGGAGATAAATCATAAACCTTATTTTTTCTCCCCCCTCCCAGGTTCTTAAATTCTTAACAAAGTGCCGTAAGAAAAAGAAACGATTTGCCCCTTGGCAAGGACTCCAAGAACTCACTGATGCACACAGAGTTCACCTGAAGCAACGAGTGGATGACTATGTCAGAAGACATTCAGTATGTAGGCTTCTATGCCATAATATCCATATTACATTACTTCATTGCAGGATATTCACCAAGAAAGCAGTAGCTTGTGTGCATAAGCCTGTTTATTGCTGACATAAAGTAATTCAGTGGCTTTACCATACAGTTAATGATTTGAAGTCTTTTTATAGTTGTATGACTATAGAAGTATAGTCAGTGGTGAAGAGGACTTTGCTTCCCATACTTCAAAAAGACTTGCTCATAGCTTCTTTTAGAATACTACAGGAATACTTTGGCTATTTTGAATCTTATAAAAGGAACATATGTAGCTGTCAGCCAATGAGTATTGATTATTACATATGAGCATATACAAAATGCAGAGACCAGAAGATACAGGATTTGAGTAAAATCCCTCCTAGGATTTTATTACTATGAAACCTTTTCCAAATAGAATATATATAAATTATATAAAGCCTTATACTTTATATGACATTTTCCTAATCTTACAAATCTTTTTGTTAGTACATGTTTGCAGTACATAGTTGTTACATTCATCTTAAAAGTAGATACATGTTCTTAACATATGTTACTTCTCTTCTATTCCCTTTTACCTTCCTACCATCTCTACATTGTTTTTTTATTGCCCATTTGCAGATGATCTACCTCCTTGATTCTTACTATCTTTGATTTTATTTTCTGAAATTATTTATACTTTGGTTCACTCATATAAGTGAGGTTACATAATAGTCAAACCTGAAGGTCTGTTTCATTTCATTTAACATTATGGTCTCAAATTGCATCCTTTTTCATACAAATGTCTCCAGTTTATTCTTCTTTATGTCAGAATAGTAGCCCCTTAGGTATAATTACCATGTTTTCTATATCTATTCATTTATCGATATATAGGCTGCTTCCAAGATTTAGTTATTATAAGTTGTGCTTCTATAAACATGAGTATAATATGATGTGTTTAACTCTAGGGAAGATACCCAGAAAGGAAATAATAGAACTGAATGGAATTTTCTATTTTAGGTTTTTTGAGGAGTCTCCATACTGATTTCCTTAAGTTTATATTCTCATCAACAATGTAGGAGGATTCCTTTCTCCCTATAGCCGTGCTGGTGTTGATCATTATTTATTTTCCTGATGTCAGACACTCGTCCTAAAGTAAGATGGAATCTCAGTGTTGTTTTAATTTTCGTTTCTCTGGTGGCCACAGATATTGGACATTTTTTCACTTATGGCCTACTTATACTTCTTCTGAGAAGTATCTGTGCATTTTAGTTGCCATATTTTGTTTGGGTCTTTTAATTTGAGGGGTCTGGGTGTTTTTCAGTTCTTTTTAAATTCTAGATATTAATCCTCCATCAGAGCAAGAAAATTTGTCTCTTTTCACTGTATTGTTTCCTTTGCTGTGCAAAACCATTTTAATTTGATATAATGCCATTTGTTGATTCTTGATACTATTCCTTCTGTAACTAGATTCTGTTTAAAAGGTCCTTTCTTGTGCCTATGTCTTTAAGAGTTTATCTGTTGTATCTAAAATTGTTTCTGTTTTAATAACTGTTTCATCCATTTTCATTTTACTTTGGTGTGAAGTGATAGATATGGCTCTAAATTCAATCTTGCACATGTGTGACCAGTTTTCCCATCCCCATTTGTTGAAGAGGCTATGTTTCTTGCCTTAGCATATATTTTTAGCCTCTTTGTCAATGATCAGATGACTTTTAACATGCCTGGGGTTGTTTCTTCATCTTCTCTTCTGTTCCATTGACCTGAATGTCTGCTTTTGTGCCAGTAGCATGCTGTTTTTAGCACTGTAGCTTTGTAGTATCACTTGAAATCTGGGACTGTTATGCCTCCTGCCTTGTTTTTGTTGCCAAGGATTGCTTTTGCTATTCTAGATGTCTTCTGGTTCCATATAAATCTTAGGATAGTTTTTTCCAATTTCTGTGAAGAATACTGTTAGCGTTTTGATTAAGATTGCATTAAATTTATGTATCAGTTTTCATCCATATTGACAACACTGATTCTGGCTGTTCAAAAACAGGGGATGTCTTTCCATTTTCTGATGTCTTCTTCAATCTGCTTTTTCAGAGTACTATAGTTGTGAATAGTATTGTTTTCCTAATTTGCTTCTCAGTGGATTCTTTATTGATGGACAGGATTACAATTGATTTTTGTGTGTTGATTTTGTCCTTTCTTTTGCCTGATTCCTCTGGAAAATGTTTTGAGTACTATGTGGAATAGTTGTTGTCATAATGGAAATCATTGTTCCTGATTTTAGAGGTCAATCTTTCAGCTTTTCCCCTTTTAACATGGTATTAACAGTAGGTTTGTCATAAATGACTTTTATCAGATGGAGGTAAAGTCCTTCTATATCTACAGTATTTTCTTCAGAGTTTTTATCATGAATGAATGTTAGATTTTTGTCAACAGCTTTTTCTGTGTGTAGTAAGATAATCATATTATTTTTATCTTTGCTTCTATTTATATGATATATTACATTTACTGATTTGCATATGTTGAATCATCCTTGCATCCTTGGGATAAAGCCTGTGTTTCTATGATGTATAATCCTTCTAATGATTTGTTGCATTGTATTTGCCAATGGCTTGTTGAGGATTTTAGCACTGGGAAGTTCATTAAAGAGATTAGAGTTCATTAAAGTTCATTAAAGAGATTGGCCTACAGTTTTCTTTTTTAGTTGGATTCTAGTCTGGTTTTAGAAGTAGGGTATTATAGCTTCCAGGAATGACTTTGGAAATAGCCCTTCCCTTTCAGTTTCTTTAAAGAGTTTGAAGAATATTGGCATTATATGCTCTCTGAAGTTCATGCAGAATTCAGCAGTGAATCCATTGTGTCCTGGATTTTTCTTAGTTGGTATGTTTTTTATTACTGCCTCAGTTTCACTGCCTATTGTTGGATTACTTGGGGCTTTTATATCTCCTTGTTTCAATTCTGGTAATTCATTTGAGTCTAGGAATCTATCTGTTTCTTCTAGATTCTCTAATTTGTTGGCATACAATTTTTCATAGCATTTACTAATAGTTTTCTAAATTTCAACAGTGTCTGTTGTGACTTCACTTTTTCCATTTCTAATTGCATTGTCTTGGGTCTTTTCTTTCCCTTTTTTGGGTAAGTTTGGCTAAGAGGTTGTCTGGTTTATTCTTTCAGTGACCTAGCTCTTTGGTTTATTGATTCTTTGTATTTTTTTTAAGTCTGAATTTCATTATTTTTTACTCTGATCTTTATGAATTTTTCCCATGTAATAAGTCTGGATTTGAACTGTTCTTGTTTTTGTAGGACCTTGAGCTATCTGATTAGATTATTTAGATTATTTTTTCAGCTCAGTTTTTTTTAATGTGAGCATTCACACAAATAAGCTTCCTTCTTGGGCTGATTTCATTGTATCCCTTGGGTTCTGGTATACATTGTACTGGCATTATTGTTTGATTCTAGTAATTAATTTCTTCTTTGATTTCTTCTGTAACTCATGAGTGTTCAGGAATGTGTTATTTAATATCCATATGTTTGTAAACTTTCTATAGTTTCTTTTGCAGTTAATTTCTAGTTTCAGTGCACCATTATTTGATATTATACATAGGATAATTTTGATTTTTTTCATGTTTATTTGAAAGAGGCTGTACAGGCTATTATGTAGTCTATTTTAGAGAAAGTTTTTTATGCTGCTGAAGTGTATATCCTGTGGCAGTAAGGTAGAACACTTTGTAGATATGTATTAAATCCATGTATTTACATCTGTGGTTTAGCTCTTTATTTCTTTGTTAATTCTTTGTTTAGCTGATCAATTTGTAATAGTGGGGTATTGAGGTCTCCCACTATGATTGTGTTGGTGTTTTTTTAAACTTTTATGTCCAGTTTTATGAAGTTGGGTGTATCAGTATTCAGTGCATATATATTTACAGTTGTTATCTTTTTTACATCGTTCCCTCAGCTAAGATATAGTGATCTTCTTTGCTTCTTCTGATATGTTTTAGCTTGAAGTCTACTTTGAGAATAAGATTGCTACCCCTCCTTGTTTTTTAGGTCCTAGTGCATGGAATGCTGTTTTCCATCCTTTGATTTTTAGTTTATGAATTTCTTTTTGGATTAGATGAGCCTCATTTTTGCAGCCAAACATTGAGTTCTGTTTTTTGATCCAGTTTGCCAATCTGTGTCTCTTAATTAGGGAGTTGAGGCCATTTACTGTGAGAGTTATTACTGAAAGGTATTTGCATACTCCTTTCATTATATTGTTTTTCTGTTGTTGACTCCTTATTTTCTCCTTTTTATTTAACTGCTCACCCTCCTTGATATATTCATTCCATCAGACTTTTTGGCTTCATTTCCTCTGTCTACAATAGCTTTTTTTGAGTGCTGGTTGAGTGGTCATGAATTTCTTAAGGTGGTCTTTGTCATGGAATGTCCTTATTTCTCCATCAATTTTGAAAGATAGTTTTGCATTATATATCAGTCTGGGTTGAAAGTTGTTTTCTTCACTCCAAGCTCTCCAAGTTTGTGTTGAAAAGTCTGCTATAATCCTGAGGGGTTTATCTTTTTAGGTGATTTTTTTGCTTTTCTCTGACAGCTTTTATGATTTGTCCTTGTGTTAGAATTCTGGGATTTGGACTATGCTGTGTTGGGGGAGCTTATTTTTTCATCATAATTATTTGGAGTTCTATAAGCCTCTCTTACTGTCTGTTGGGTTCTTTCCTCATGCTTAGAAAATTTTCTGCTATGATTTATGTAGACAGATTTTTTTACTCCATGTGTGCTGACCTCTGTTTTTTCTCTAAGTCCTCTTACATTAATTAGTCATGGCATCATTGAGTAGCTGTTGGATCAATTTTCTTTGCTCTCTTGTTTTTAAACTATCTCTATCATCATGTGCTTCCATTTTGTCCTTGAGGTTTGACACTCTTTTCTCACATTGCTCACTTTTGCTGTCCATGTATTCAATAGAATTATTTTTCTCTGGGATTTCGCTTTCATACTTTTTCATGCAGTCTGTTTCTTTGCTAAACTTCTCA